TTCCTTTCCATGTGTACTTATGTCATCAGCCTTTATCATAGAGGATTATACTTTTGATTTTTGGAGTATATGAAAGCACAAACATTTGTGATAGCCCCTCCATAGATGATTTACCAAATGCTGACAGCCATTTGAGTGTTTAATTATATAAACAATGGATGGTGTAAGTTCGAGCAATCTCAAACAATATCAATCGCATCATGTCATGAGTGTCAAAACCATATTCCATGAATGTAGCAGACTCTGCTATGTTCTGATGATGTCAGCAAAGGAAGGCAAACAACAGACCACTACTCAATTTTAAATATGTATTGTAACTGGTTTTGAGGTTTAAAGATTTGTTCATTTTTTTTAGTCGAAAAAATATTTTAGGGTGATATGATCTATGCAGCCTCAATCATTTATAGAATTGACCCCTGACCACCATCTTTTATGAAATATAAATGAACTTCCATGGTCAGTGCATGAAGGTAAAAACTTCTTTATTAATACAGAAATACCTTTTGTAAAACATTGATGAAGTGTACATCATTAAACTCTCACAACTCTTTCTGTGCATCAAAACTATGTATTCTGGTGCCATATAGACATGCTGGATAGGAACAAGTAGTGAAGTTTAATCCAATTTCCATTTTTTTTCTGAGAAGCTACATATATATACAATATATAAATCACAGATTTGACAAGTGCAAATATATTCTGATTTGTCTACAGGTTCTACTACACCAAATCAGTACCAGTTTGGAGAGTGCGGATTTCGTAGGGAGCCTTCAGTGCAGATCGAGAGATATCTGCAGGCTGTGATTGGAGGATATTCTGTAAGATTTTTATGTCTTTCAAATGTACATCCATCCAGTTATTAAAACTGACCATGTTTTTCTATATTTAGTACTGTCTTTTTCAACATGATGACTTATGCTGAATGTGACCACAGCTATTTTCAAGTAGGTGACATTTGGTGCGAAACTGGGGGTGGTGTGTTTAGCTTCCGGTACTCGGAAAAGGAGCTGACTAAGCTAGTCATTTTTATTTTTTTTATTGCTGCTCTAAGGCCAAACTGTGCACACACGTACAGGTAATAGCTGTTGAATGCTTAGTTATTTAAAAAAAAATCATAACGTTACTATAGAAGTCTATGGGAAAACATTTGGTTGTGTGTAACCTATAAGCCATTCCAGAATGTTCTTCTTAAGAGTTTTAGTTTTTTAAATCAAGAATACGTCAAAATATGTTTCAAAGCGTTGTCGCCAGTTTGAAACTAGTGTTGTAAAGCTTGAGAAAGCTGCCTTCTGTTTGGCTAATGTCGATTTCTTGTCAGTCATTTCATTGGTCAGTCAAAATTCGCGAAAGGTCGTTCTGATGTGACCCGTAATGGGATGTCCTCAGATCTTTGTTTAGCGGTAGCAGAAAAGGAAGATCTGATTTTAATGAGATTGTTAGAATTTGGTTTGTTTTTGAAATTTGATTGTTTGGTTGTTTAGCTGGAGGATTGGGGAGTTAAGGGAGAAGCCCCATTTGTCTGCCCATTGTTGTATTTTATTTAGAGAATTTTGGAGTAAATTTTCGGCTATTTGAATGCTTTTAGTGTGGATCCAGAGGGCTCCATCATCCACGAATTTTGATGTGTTTAGTTTAGGGTATAGGCCCTCATTATATCATTTATCTAATATTGAAGAGGGTGGGGCTGAGGATACTGCCCTGGGGAGTGCCATTTTCTAGGGGACATTGGTCCGATAGTGTTTGGTCTATACCCACGGTTATTTTATGATTGTTTAGGAAGTCCTGGATGTAGTTTATTATCGGACCTTTGAGTCCTATTTTTTAAAGTTTTTGTATTAGCCCGTCATGCCATACCATGTTGAAAGCTTTAGAGAAGTCTAAGAAGATGCCTGTGGTATATTGTTTATTTAGTTGTCCTGTCTTAATATCTTGCTCTAGTCGGGCGAGGTTATCTAGGGTTGAGCGGAACCTGTCCGTTTAGGAAGATGAGATTGTATAGTTTGAGTATTGCCTGGAGTAGTTTTGGGGGAGTTTTTTAATTATTTGGTAAGAAGTTAGGTCTAATCCAGGGCAGGAAATGACAGTGTTTTGACTATTCTGCTTTCATTAATTAATGTTTTTGGCATCCCTAATTAACCTTTACTAATTCATGTTAAACAAACACAGTGGATATTCGCGAATGTCATAGGGATGACACCACACATGTTAATAACTGTCAAAGCACTTCTAAAATTCCAACACATACTTTACATCTTTAGACTTATATTATATCTACCTATATAAAACTTTAGTGTCTCATATTGCGGTAGCAAACACGGTGCTCAAAGTGAAGCCCTTTTCCCTCTACATTCTCAACTTACTCTCTATCAGAAGTGTTTGGCTTGAGTTGGGTCCGACTTGGTCCGGGCTGTCAAAATTTTCTATATACACACAGATGTATCATCAAATGTGTTTACATCTCTAGATAAGTATTAAATCTACCTATAGACCACTTTATAATGTCATGGTACATCGTATTTAAAGACAACAAGGGGCTCAAAGTGAAGCCCTTTTCCCTCTACATTCTCGACATAGTCTCTATCAGAAGTGTTTGGTTTGTGTTGGGTCCGACTTGGCCCGGGTGGTCAAAATCTACTTTACACACACAGATGTATCATCAAATGTGTTTACATCTATAGATTAGTATTAAATCAACCTATATACCACTTTATAATGTCACGGTACATTGTATTTAAAGACAACAAGGTTGACGTAAGTAATGTTGAAGAATGGGATCGTCTTAGCCCTTGGGTCGCTTTGTGGAACAGGAGCCAGGTGTCATCAGTGTGAGTTTACGGGGGTGTATGTGTTTTATTCATTTGTTGTTACGTGTCAGGGAGACGAGTAAGAAAATTGGTTGGAAAATGTATAATTGACCCGAAGCAATTATACCTCTTCTTGACTATAAGTATTCCCTTGTGTGTTGCATGGAGTTGCCAAAGTGACGAAGAAGGACGTGAAATGCGCAAGCTCGTTGTCCATACTGTGAAATATTTGGAGAATTATTTTTCATTCACAACTATTTCCCATTGCGTGCAATGAACAGCCAATTGTTTGCACATTGCATTACATTGGTGAATGCATGCAATGTGCAGTTGCACAGAATGAGTGTAACATATACTTCCCCAAAAAGGAAACATGTATGTGGTTTTGGAGAGATGCATTCTTAGGCTTCCACAGGGCTTTTGTGCGTGTTTCGAAGATTAAAAGAAACAGAGATAAAAAATGTTAATGAAGAAGACTTTACAAGTGCTGGTTACCACACTATTTCCATTTCTAGATCAGAACTCCAAAATCGTTGATTATGTTTTTTATCCCCCGCCGCGCGAAAGCGCGAAGCGGGGGATATAGTATTCACGACCGTCCGTACGTCCGTCCGTCCGTCCGTCCGTCCCACCTGTTTGTTGCCGCGATATCTCAAGAACTAAACACTGGATTGTCTTCATATTTGGAACTATGGTGTATATACAGACTCCGCAGACACCAGTCGGTTTTGGTGACCTTGATCCCATTTTCAAGGTCACAGCAGACAAATCTGCTTTTAGAGTTGGAAAACAGTGTTGCCGCGATATCTCAAGAACTAAACACTGGATTGTCTTCATATTTGGAACTATGGTGTATATACAGACTCCGCAGACACCAGTCAGTTTTGGTGACCTTGACCCCATTTTAAAGGTCACAGCAGGCAAATCTGCTTTTGGAGTTGGAAAACAGTGTTGCCGCGATATCTCAAGAACTAAACACTGGATTGTCTTCATATTTGGAACTATGGTGTATATACAGACTCCGCAGACACCAGTCGGTTTTGGTGACCTTGATCCCATTTTCAAGGTCACAGCAGACAAATCTGCTTTTAGAGTTGGAAAACGGTGTTGCCACGATATCTCAAGAACTAAACACTGGATTGTCTTCATATTTGGAACTATGGTGTATATACAGACTCCGCAGACACCAGTTGGTTTTGGTGACCTTGATCCCATTTTCAAGGTCACAGCAGACAAATCTGCTTTTAGAGTTGGAAAACGGTGTTGCCGCGATATCTCAAGAACTAAACACTGGATTGTCTTCATATTTGGAACTATAGTGTATATACAGACTCCGCAGACACCAGTCGGTTTTGGTGACCTTGATCCCATTTTCAAGGTCACAGCAGACAAATCTGCTTTTAGAGTTGGAAAACGGTGTTGCCGCGATATCTCAAGAACTAAACCTCTCGATTGTCTTCATATTTGGAACTATGGTGTATATACAGACACCGCAGACACCAGTCGGTTTTGGTGACCTTGACCCCATTTTCAAGGTCACAGCAGGCAAATCTGCTTTTGGAGTTAGAAAACGGTGTTGCCGCGATATCTCAAGAACTAATCGCTGGATTGTCTTCATATTTGGAACTAAAGTGTATATACAGACACCGCATACACCTGTCAGATTTGGTGACCTTGACCCCATTTTCAAGGTCACAGCAGGCAAATCTGTTTTTGGAGTTGGAAAACGGTGTTGCCACAATATCTCAAGAACTAATCGCTGGATTGTCTTCATATTTGGTACTATGGTGTATATGGCGGGGGATATTTCGTCACTCTGTGACAAATACTTGTTTGAAACTTGGTATACAGATCGGGACATGGAACACATGATGATGGTCTGACTGTGATTTGCACAAGTTCCCATTTGTCTGCTCCGTTTTTGATACCATGATAGGTTGAGGCTATTCCAAGCACTGAGGGTGAAAATGTATGATAAAAGTAGGAACATTAAGTTTGGCTTTGTATTGTGTCCAATTCGTTCAGCATGTTTTCCTGACTGTTGAAAGAAGAATTGAAATTCCTCTTCTTTGTGCTTTCAAAAATCAACTATGCCACTGATTGTGTCTGCAACCTAAACCGCAATATAGGAGATAATCTCGCTTGGCAGAGCTACTACTGTACAGGACCAAGCAACACAATAACACAAGACGCGAGTAAATATACAGGAGTTTATTAGTCAGCTACAGAGTCAGTTAACATTAACAATCAGTTGTAGATATACATGGATATATGAACAAAGAACATCGAGCGTGACATAAAGTTATTTACAAGGATTGATAAAGATTGATGAGTACATAGTGCAATCATCATATGCCTACAACAATTTGCATATGATTGAATAGTAATCAAATAAAAAACATTGACACTTGCATTACAGGAGTAGGCATTCACACAAGATACAGTATTTGTTAACCATGATACATATTCCAACGTAAAACAACATAATAAAGTAAATATGACTGACATAATCTATTCACAACAGTATTACAAAAAGTGAGTGAGTGAGTGAGTAAATGTTTTACATCACATTGGCAATATTTCAGCAATATGGTGACGAGTATTACATAGAGAATATCTAAATTATGATGTGTTCAAATAAACATTTGAACTTGCAGGCATTGCCAAACTATTAGCAAATACTAGTTGTTCAGATTAATGAACATATATTGTACAAGTAAGTAGACCTGAGTGAATAAATTGGAGATTATTAGTCAAATTGTGCAAGTGGTGGGTGCTACTGGTAGAGCAGGACATGCCTACCCTTTTTGCCACTGGCCAGTGTTATCACTGATGTTTGGTGTTCCATTCATTATAATTCCGCCACTGTTTTGCCTTTCACACCAAATGGAAACTGTTTCAGCAGACAATCAAGTTTGATTGTTCTCTGGTATTGACGTTTTATGTTGTATGTGGTACAAGAAACTAATAATTGAATAGAGAAAAATATGGATTGGACCTAAACTATGAACTATGGATATCATGTGCCATAACATATTTGGTCAAAATATACTTCCATACCTTTTGGGGCAGTCGGATAGCCTATTTGGTTTTAAGTAGTGTTGTTAAAGATACTTCAAGAAAGGTAATCAGTCAGCTGTAATTCTTATGAGAGGAAATATACTTCCAACTTTCTCTGTGATGACTGCTGGTTAGAACAGGTCCATACTGGCTGATCAGACTGTGACTGGGATTATAGCATGTCATCATACCCGATTTCAGTGTATCATTGCTCATCCTTTCAGTCACTTGTTTTTCCTGATCATGTTTCAGTAACATTCACTTACTCATTCATGTGGGGGCGGGGGTGAGCTTTAGGGTGTTAGGGTGAGCTTCACACAATTATCATGCATTTGGTGTATAAAGTGCATATGAGGGCTGTATAATGGCAAAAACATTGTATTGCAACTTAAGTCACGTATAACTCTGCAGGTTATTACACGTTTGTATTCAATTATGCATGAATAAACATGTTAAAACAGGAAGTGATAAGAACTTGACTGATTATTCATTTCAAGTTCAACCCTTCAGGCACCTGATAGGGCGGTCGGGTAGCCTTGTGGTTAAAGCATTTGCTTGTCACACAGAAGAACTCGGTTTGATTCCCCACATGGGCAAAATGTCTGAAGCCCTTTTCTGGTGTCCCCCAACGTGATATTGCTGGATTATTCCTAAAAGCGGCATTAAACTATACTCACTCACTCATTGATAGGACTATCAACAGTTTTCTTTACAGTTTACGTTGTTAAATTGTTCACCATATAAGGAATAATTACCAGTTGATTACTAGACAAAGCCTTATCCGGGTCAGAAGGGTCCCCCGGTGGGTGACCGTGATAAGGGTCACTAAACCGGGTACTTGTGATGATCCGGAGTAGAATAGTCTTCAGTGCAACCCATGCTTGCTGTAAAGGCGACTATGCTTGTCGTAAGAGGCAACTAAGGGAATCGAGTGGGCAGACTAGATAACTTGGTTGATGAATGTCATCGTATCCCAATTGAGCGTTGATCGATGCTCATAATGTCAATCACTGGAATATTGCTGAATGCAGCGTTAAACAACAAACAAACAAAGCTATTACATGTTACTGAGTAGAGGAATTATTACTTATTATTGTATAAACAACAACAAAATAATATAGAACCAGTCATATCAATTAACTATTTTTGAAATCAATGCAATTTAAGTTCGAATCCATTGTTGTTCATACAAACCAGTTCTTGAGCTGAACAGAGGTGTTGATACATATATGACTGTATTAACTTTTATATTTTCTTTTAGAGATCAATGTAATTAACATTAGACTGAGTCCAATGTGTCAATCTATATCACTTCCTTTATTTCAATCCCATCACATTGAAACGTATAAAACAAACATCCCAACAGCTTCCTGTTCGTAACTCAGTAAAGAACCTGGAAGCAGTGAACAGGGCACAGCGTGCCCAACTGGTTCTCGGAGCCCTTCCCCAAATCCGAAACCGTGTGTTCAGGGAACTGGACTGAAGGACCATCGCGACTCCGAAAGAAAGACATCCATGCAGTTCCTAGATGCCACTGGTCACCTTATCAAATTTGGACAATAATTTACATGTGGATAATTGATTGAATGTAAAAGAATTGCCAAAACTATTGTTATATTTTTCTTCTGTGTTATATTATAAATATAACATATCCGTGATTTTCATTATGTTTTATGGTTTTACTTCATTTAAACAAGTGTTTCTCATTGTGCCTACATTGTTTTGTTGTCTCAGTATGGACCAGTTTATCTCCTATCACAGGTGAAATAGGAAACAGTCCTGTTCACTCGTGGATCACTTTCTGAGTATCAGACCGTTTCATTTCATTTCATAGATATAGGCAGACTGATTCTGTAGTGAACAGGTCATCCAAAGAAAACAACTATTCAAAATGACCATATTTGCTAAAATCACCAGGGAATATATCCTCTTATGATGATAAGATCAATTTGTATATATACAAACATTCAACACAAAAACAACAACATTTCTAACCTAATCATGTGCAAGAGCTCATGCACAGATTCATAAATTGTATACTAACTGCCCATTTCTAAAATGAACTTGGTCTTTTCCGTCCTTGGAATAACTCTAGCCTTCACTATCTAAGTACTTTCAACAACACTTCAGTACTGATGGACGCTTGACAAAGTATTCCAATGGTATAGCATTGTTATTTTACTGCCATAGGGATACCTCGACTTTATTGTGACAATACAGGTAAACACAGTGACTGCAAATATGAATCTTACTGATAAACAACAAAGTGTCTAAACAAAATATACTTCTGCTAATGAACTTTTCCCCCTGCAATACATGAAAACAGTGCTGTCAATGTTTTGTGCTTGGTTACACTTAAGATATATATTGTTTCATTATCGAAGTACCAAACTGCTGACTTGGACTTAACTTAACATAACTGCCATACTAACAAGAGTTCATATTTTGGTTTAGCGAAACATAAATCAATCAAAATGCATCATACGCATATACCCATAAAAACTACAAATCATGACCAAGTTTACTATTGTACATTTTGCAGAAGGTGAAACATTCTTCGGTTAGTAACCTTGTGAAATTAAAGATCTAACAGTGCTGATAAGAGGATTGTAGTTTTTTGCATTTCCAGCTGAAAGTTTTCCAGATTCATATATTGTCCAGCCACTTGCTGACCTAGATACTGAGCACATGATGACAGCCTGGCTATACTTGGCATGGGTAAAGCTAGTTTTGCATAGGTCATTGTGTGGTTCTTGTGCCTGATAGAAACTCAAACTAGGGTTTGGGTATTGTGCGATGTTTGGAGAATTCCATGCACTTAGGGTGAAGAAGAGATGTGTGATATTGGCAGGTATCTTTCTTAAGTACACATGAATTGTGTGATGCCCTATTCTTTGGATATCATTCATTATATCACCAGAATGCCTGATTGATCCATTTTCATTTTGTGTTCGTCCATAGTCAACTACATGCTGAATCGCCTGGCCACTGAACTGAAGGCAGCTTGCATCCAGGTAGTCCCGTCCTCTGTTCTGTGGGTAACCCCAATACAGGTCAAACACAACATGGTCAAAACCTTCAGGAATAGCAAACATCAGTATCACCAAATGTATGACAGAATTTGGTTCCACAGAATAGTCAATCAGTCGCATTCGTTGTCCTGAGTCCCCATATACCTGCAAGAGAAACATTTTTATTCACCAGATGTCACCTACAGTTAAGTGTTTTTCTAAAAGCTATATTTTCAACAAAAAAACTCCAACATGATGACATGTATTGTTATATTTGTCAAGAGACACTTTCTTAATCATCAATCAATAGCTATCATTCTTTATAATTCTATGAATTCTACCTGTATTACATCATTGCCTGTGTTTGGGCTGTCATCACACTAAAACTAAACCTTCATATACTGTTAATCTTGAAATGAACGCGAGTGTGAATTAAATGTGAAAAATGCAAGCGGTCTTTGCTCACATTAACTAACTTCTCATTTATGTCTCCAAAATGACTATCAACAATAGGACGTCTCACTGCACACTGTGTGTTGTTTTTAGGAAAACACTGTTTATTTTTTGTATGGAAGTGCTAATAAGCAGTGCTATTTGCTGTTTGACTGGATTAAGGTAAGGATAAGTGTCTTTCCACTAGGGATGGGGTGGGGGAGTCACATTGATATTAAGCCACATTTTTGGATAGTGGTCAGCAGTCGTTTTGATTTGGAGATGCATTAATTTCCAGATTTGCAGTATTCAATAGAAGTCATTTTCTGTGTCTGCTACCCACAATTAGTTGTGCCAGTAATAGCATCTTGTTTACTTAGGAAAACCTCACTTCTTTCAAATATCCACTACCAGATGCAGATGATTGGGGAGGTGGGCATCTTTCCGAGGCAAGAGAGTTAACTGACTTTAAAAGTACAGTTTCCACCCTTGCCGAACTAGGCTGGAATTCCTGGGCTTGATCGTAGCACCCCCAGTGGTTATTACATGTTATGTCCCTTCAAAGCCTCTCCTATTGACCAATCCGATTCCACCTATCGTATCACTTGCATTTGTTTTTTTTTAAAATGGCGGCGCCCAGTCAAGACGATCTGATCGATAATCAAGATCTATATTGTGATAAAACGGGACTTACATTGCGAAGTGCATCAAATCATGTGACCACCTTGATCAAAAACATGAAAAGACTTGGAAAATATCTGTTAACAATGAGTTGGCAGTCCACATGCTTTGCAAATCCTGCAATCGACCGAAATCTGCACAACAGTTTACTAACCAGATTTCGATTTCGTTGCGCAATTTTGATTGGACTATGCATGGACTCGGACAGCTAGAGTTTGCCCGGTGGAGATGAATATATGGATTGGGAGGTGTAACTATTTGAGTGGGGGTGGATTTCCTTCTGCATTTATGACAAGAGAACAAGTTTCAACAAGGAACGATAGAATGGTATTGTTCAGCCTTAGCGTCTGTTTACAACATGATGGATCTCTTGGGATCATCCTGTACTCAACAGACTTATGAAATCATTTCGCTTGGAGGATGTCCAAATGCCTAGACTTTTCCAAAATGGAATATCTTTGTCGTCCTTTCAGCTGGCATAACCGTATGAACTACTTGCAAGAGCTTCTCTTCTCCCAAATTCATGGAAAACTGTTTTTCACCTAGCCATGGCCACAGCGGCTAGAGTGTCTGCAATTCACGCTTTGGATTACCCAGGACTCACTCACACTGACTACCCGGACCCGTGAAGGTCAGGTGATATATTGTTTAATGACAAAAATTATCTAGAACACTATGGTTACACTACAAGTTACTAATGTTCGCATTTCTTTCTGACTATGTCCCCATTCCTTCTGATTTTTCATATGGTTGAATAAAGATATAACTTAATTCAACTTCAGTGTATGAATGACCAGATTGTTTAATACATGTATCTAAATACGTTTTGCGCGGGCCATGCTAAAAATGTTCCCAATAGGACATTTTGAGACATCTCCCGAGACTTACAGTCGGCAGTGCCATAGCCAGCTGGGGGGGGGGGGGGGGGGGGGGGGCGCGAAATACAAGTTGGGGACAAGTGATACTTGTACAAATATTTGACCCCCTGTCAAAAAAGTTAACTACGGCCTTGGTCGGTAGACAGGTAGGGTCGGGTAATGGGGGGGGGGTATCTGGGTAGTAAATTTGGACTCGTCCCAGCCCTAGCGCGTACAGGACACAAAATATCTCTTCAGGATCCTCAGGACTCAAGATGGAAGTCAACGACGGGACAGTACATAATCAAGCAGGTTGTCAGGGAAGTTGAATTGTGGTGGTGATTTCCCATTGCATGCACAGAAAAACTTTCCCGTGCAGAGCACATTTGAAAAGATAACTCTATTGACGTCTAGTGCATGAATCTCTCACTCGAGCAGTCGTCGTGAGATCCAAAAGTTTTAAAAGTGATATTTTCAAGCTCCTTTTGGGCAAGAGGCTCGTAATCAGACAAAATAATGACAAAGTATGATGTTAAGATCCCAGGTCAGTGGGTGGAAAAGAGATGACTGGTCTGCCAGCTTGTAAGAATGAATTAAGGATTACAATTCCGCAATCATAGACACCTTGGCACCTGTTGTAGTAGCAATGACAGAATTGATTACAGCAAAAAAATGCAGCTAAGGAAGAACCCTTAAGCTTACGTGATGACCGGAGATGCTAAAGGTATTCAGCAATTTGTTGTGGAGAAGCAGAAGCGGGTGTAGAAATATGACCTGTGCGACAATAGGCCTCAAAAGTCTTCCACTTATGGTTATACAGAGACTTGGCTGACTATCTGTGAGCCTCTGGTCTTGGCTACCTTTCTGGAATAAACCCTTGCAACAAGGAATTTCTGTTAATGCGCTGCAACATCAACAAGGGATTTTGAGTGAGTCAATTAGCTGAAAGAATTCAGAGCAAAACACAGTAGTGACACTGACTTGGTGGAGCCCATGTTGTTAATGTACCAGACAACGGATAGGCTATCTGACTAGATCATCAGGCTGGAAGCATGAAGAAGTGTCGCCCATTGTGACATGCCAAGATTTCTTGGAGAGACCACCACTCTGCCAATTGTAGCTCAATACATTGAGCTCCAAAACCCATGGTATTGACAAAAACATGTAGAATCAGGATAAATGGCTGTGAGGAGACGCCTTCACAGTCGTTTGACGGTACCAGTCACCATTGGAGATGTAGCCAAAGGTGATTTGGCAGGGAAATTAGAACCTGACAATTGTTGTTCTGAAGATAGGGCTTGAGAAAACACTATATCGGTTGCAGGGGCAGTTGTCCTCTCCTTGTAAGAGCTTGTGCCGACATCAGTAGAACGAGAAGTTGTTGCCATTGATGCAGAGAGAGTGGCTGAGTGCCTTCATCCTTGGGCATGAACATCTTGCCTAGGCGTGAGTCGAACAGGGCCCTGATAAGTGGAAGAAGTTGAGTGTGAATTGTCTCGGATATTTGCGTGAAGTTGAGATGTAGTAGAAGAATGCCTGGATCTTCGTAGGCCTGAATGCAGTTGTCAATGTATGATTCGAAAAAGATGCCTCCAACGTGTAGGAATTTGAGGATGAGGTGAGTAAATAGCCAGGGGCCGAAGAAATTCCAAATGAGAGCACTTTCCATTGGAAGTGGCAGCTGAAGAAAGTGACTGAAGGAAGTGGCTGTGCTCCCTATGGACGAGAACGTGTAAATATGTAAGAGCGAATATTATCCTATCCTATTTTTAATCCTGAGGATGAAATTCTTCCCCGGAATAATATTTAGGTAGGATATAATCTTTGCTTACAAATACATGTCTTGTAGTTCCAGACTGATCCTGAATTCGCCGGGACGAAAAATTGGATGTAGTAATGCGATATGACATCATACTGAAGTGTGGAGGTATCTCTAGATATAACTTGTTGAAAGGTTTTGTGTTGAAAATGAGAGATCCTAAGGACTCAAGACAACGGGACAGTACATAATCGATCAGGTTGTCAGGGAAGTTGATTTTTGGTGATGATTTCCCAATGCATGCACAGAAAAACTTTCCCGTGCAGAGCACGTTTGAAAAGATAACTCTATTGACGTCTAGTGCATGAATCTCACTCACTCGAACAGCCGTCGTGAGATCCAAAAGAAAGACAGTTTTAAAAGTGACATGTTCAAGCTCCTGGGCAAGTGGCTCGTAAGCAGCCCAAATAATGGCAAAGGTATTCAGCAATTTGTTGTGGAGAAGCAGAAATATCACCTAGGCCTCAAAAGCCTTCCACTTATGGTTATACAGGGACTTGGCTGACTAGAAGCTGAAGCTCTAAAATGGCCATAACCTTGTCCTGGATAAGACCTACAGCACCTTGAAATTTACTGACAAAAACATCATGGTAACACATGTACGGTTTTTGACCTGAGACAATACCTAAAAAAGTAAATGAAGTAAATGAGTTGCGTTTGATGTTTCATGTGAAAATGTTCCTTAAAGTCTCTACTTGACATGACACGTGAAACAGTCAGACGTTGGATCTGTTGATGGGTCAACAACAACCACTCCTGATGCAATGCTACTTCCCATTTGCAAAAATCTTGTACAGGAGGATCTCATGCCTATATGTGCCACCCCAGAATATCCCAAACATGTTCAAAGGGGTTCAAATCTGGGCTCATTGCTGGCCAGGGTAGAGTCATTATTGCATTGGCCCTCATGTAATCCACGATTGAATGTGATCGATGAAGCCTGGCATTGTCATCCATGTACTGAGGTCGAGTAGCAAGAGGGTGGTTGTCAAAATGAGGAACGACGACTGGCCTCAAAACGTCCCAGATGTACTGAGCTCCTGTTAAGTTGCCCCTTATGGTAACCAAATCCAACCTGCTATCATGAGAGATACACCCCAAAAACCATTACCAAGTCCCGCTGTATGTAACAGTCGGTTTATTGTTCCTGGGGGTGTAGGTCGTGTTCCGGTGCCTCCAAACTCTCGTTCTTCCATCAGTGACGTGGTGCAGAAAGTGACTTTTGTCTGACCAATGGATCCGTCTCCAAGTTCTCAGATTCCAGTTCTGTCTCGCAGTACTCCATGCTAAACGAGCAGCTTTGTGGTGATCTCTCAACATGGGACGCTTTATGACTCGTCTATGGGACGCTTTATGACTCGTCTAGCCCTCAGTCCTGCTGCTTTCAGCCGGATCCTGATGGTTCTGGTGCTGAAACGATGATTGGGCAACCACAGCTGTTTCAGACGAGTACTGGGGCGGTCGGGTAGTCTGGTGGTTAAAGCGTTCGCTTGTCACGCTGAAAACCCGGGTTCGATTCCCGACATGGGTTCAATGTGTGAAGCCCATTTCTGGTGTCCCCCGCCGTGATATTGCTGGAATATTGCTAAAAGCGGCCTAAAATCAAACTCACTCACTCACTCACTCGATGTGTTGTCACAGGAGGTCTTCCGGATCTGGAACAGTTCTGTATACGTACATCATAGGTCTGAGCATGTTTCTTGACTAAACGGCTTACGACAGTGTAATGATACCCCAAATTCCGACCAATGGCATTACAAGACATTCCTGCGTTATGCATGCCGATCATTTGCCATCTTGTTGTGTTTGGTAATAGCCTTTGTGCCATGGTCACACAATGTCATGCAATAACTGTTTAAAACCGAGCTTAAGAAAGGAATTTTAACTTTTGGATATACTGCTTTTAGAGATACTCGAGGGTAGCATGCTGCCTGGGCATACCATGCATGGCACGTGAGCTTTTCGTCACGCATGACTGATGACATCATCTCGAGAAAACATAATTCTTCCCATAATTTTATTTTTCATGACTGTAATAAATATTGGGACCAAACAATAATGAAATATATCAGGGTGTGCTTAACTTTTTTCTTTGTGTATAGAACCAAAATCAGGATTACCGTTCAACTGCCTGAGAGAGAAGCAGGGTAGGCATGAAAAGTGTGCATGACCCAGATTGTTGGGAGGTGACAATGGTGATGGTAGTTGTGTTCGGGTTGATTGCTGTATTAGAAGCTGGAAACCTTTGTGTGAGATAGGATTACCATTTTATCTTGAGTATTTTGCGCACATATTTCCCAAAAAACGCAGCTGTGTTGAAGGGGTGCACATTATACACGCCATAATGAGTTTTGATGTTTTCCCCCCCAACACAAAAACATTACCGTGAGCATGTAACTACGGAAATACCATATCAACAAATCCAAACTGAAGTATTCAAATTAATCATGTAATTACACTGTCTGGTTATTAAAAGTGTTCATTGTATATCTGTTTGTAACTTATTTCATTAATTTTATTCAAAATTCCTTTTAATATTGTTTTAATTAATTTCGGTGAAATCGTGTGTGAAGCGATTGGAAGATCGCACAACTCACCGTTATTAACGTGCTCAGATTACCGCTATTAACGCCTATAAACAAACTTTAGTCGACAGAGAATGGCTACATATATGGCTTAAAAAAATTAAAGAATTGGTTCTCGGGCAATGGTTTTTGAAAATATAGTGTGGACAGGCGGTGTCTTTTGTTTTGTTGGGTTGTTCAAACTAGTATATAACCAATAAACAGTTGTGTAATCAATAAAACAATTGTGTACAATCAACCTGGGAAAGGGCTTCCCTACATAAATGTATTCTTTGATGAGTAAAATACTGGAATACAAGTTGGACTTGGAATATTTAAGGATTTTATAGATATATTTTTTTTAAAATTTGAAACAAAAATGAAACGTGCGGCGAACTTTATGATGCGGACGGTGCCTATCATAAATGCCATATTTATTGTAGTTTGACGATTCTATGTCAAAATGTAGTTCTTGCAATCATGTAGCGGGAGCCTCAATGGTGACTGGTCAAATTGTTCCATGTGAAAAAAATAACCGGTAATTGCAATCTGCTGCACCAAAGTGCTACGCTTAGGGTTATTAATATTTTAAATATAATTAATAAAAGCTGCAACTAAAATAACATGATTAGGAATATATTATTCCTGATAAAAAATAGTTTAAAATACAATTTTTCTTGATCCTTGCATTAAGAATTATATCATTGGTTTAAGTTTTAACCGAATCACCGGTAGATTCCAAGAAAACATGTGTACAGGTGATTACTGTTTCTGGCTTAGTTTACAAGAAAATATGCAAGGTAATCTTAATCCCTGGATGTGAAACAATGCCTAGCAGAACAAAAAATAAAATTTAAACGGTAGATCAACATGTCAGGTGATTCTATATCTCAAATTTTAAATTTGTACTGATCAGGTTTCTTATCACCTGTTCGTTTACCTGAATTCGCTGAAGGGGTACGATGTAAATTTTTTCTGTGTCAAATATTCATTTTTTTCTTCTCCAAAATACTGAATCTGCTAGAGGGGGTGACGCATTATACTTTGGTGCGCACCATACTCAAGAAAATATGGTATTAAAAAAGATAAGTTTTTTTTCACGGTCATATTAAGCACTGGATTCAACCTCTTGAACAAATTGAAGGGTCACCATTTGGTGGGATCAAGAATTTGAAGTATAAGGTGCCAGTGGTTTCTTTTCAGATGCAAGACAAGCAGGCCACAACATAAGCTCATTTAACTTTCAGGTGAGATACATGTGAATGTTCCATCAGTTGTTGCATTCTCATTCTAAAATAGTGGATTTACACCTACCTTCAACTCTGTTACGTTATACAGCAGCTTCTGTTTCTGGACCTCATGCCCAAGCTTATTCTTAATTTCTTCCTTCATCTGAAGAATGGTCATGTTGGGTTTGAAAGGCAAGGTCATGGACTCGCCATTTAAGACTGTGACCTGTATGACACCTTCACTTGCACCTTGAGAAACGACATGTGGGGTGTATGACGAATCATATACTCTGAACATTTCTTTCAGGGTGTGTTGTAGGATCTCCATCATTTGACTATCGGTGGCAATTGTCTCTCCACAATCTGGATGAGGACAGGCCTCATGTTGATGCACATATGCCACAACACACTGCAATAAATAGAACCAAAATCAGGATTACAGTTCAAATGGGTTTATGCTTATATGTTATAGTCACCATAATGTATCTCTTGACTCCATTGATATTGTCTAGGATCACACACATATTTTTAGTTTCATAAACCCTGTTATCTTCCCGAGGCAAGAGAGTCAGTCCACTAGCCTATATCAAAGCCAAGTGTTCTCTTCTTCCCGAGGCAAGTGAGTTAACTGACTATAAAAGTCCAGTTTCCGCCCTTGCCGAACTAGGCTGGCATTATGGAGTTACATTTTGGCTGGACTAACGAGTCTGTGCATAGTCCAATCAAAGTCGAAATTCAGTTCGTAAACTGTCATGCAGATTTTGGTCGATTACAGGATTTGCAAAGCATGTGCAACGCTAACTTGTTGTGAACAGATATTTTCTAAATCTTTTCATGTTTTGAGAAAGGTGATCACGTGATTTGATGCATTTCGCGATGTAAGACTCGATTTATCACAATATATAGATCTTGATTATCGATCATATCGTCTTGACTGGGTGCAACCGCCGTTTTGTTGGAAGCAAATGCAAGTGATATGAGAGGTGGAATCTGATGGGTCCATAGGAGAGGCATAGAAGGGACATAACTCATAATAGCCACTGGTGGCGCTACGATCGAGCCAAGGAATTCCAGCATTGTTCGGCAAGGGTGGAAACTGGAGTTTTAATAGTCAGTTAACTCTCTTGCCTCGGGAAGATGAGTGTTCTTGGCTCAATAGTTTTGCCACCTTGTGCAGAACCCGAGTTGTGCCCAATGTGATGAAAACGTGATATTCAATCAGATCACTCTTCTCATTTTGACGAAAACAAATGACGACTGCCATAGCAGATAACCTATCTATCAGATAACGAAAAGATTTAAGATTTCATCCCTGACTGACAATCAAAATGACAGATTACCACAGTGAAGATAATGATTGCTGCCACATTTTGCTCTTAAAATTTCAGGGGTATAGAAACAACACTGTATCAATTTTACACTGCACATTGCGGCAATATTCAATCATTCAATTTAAAAAATGATGAAGTTAGCACTCAAATATATTACAGTACTTGGATGGGTTGATTGAAAACTCTGAACCACTTTGAAAATATTTGTCTTCACTATATTTTTGTAATAATCAGTGCAAATTTGATAGGCGATGGCTGTGGCTACAGCAGTGACCACATTTTTGGAACCCAGATGTTGATTTTGTAAACTGTTGATATGTGCAATAATCCTCTCACATTTTAGTACAGAAATGTAGGCTTGAAATGTAATAACACACATCATTAACAACGTTGTGGATAAGTTGTTGGAATGCTACGTTGCATTACAACCACTGGTATCAAGTATGTATATATTCATTTTTGTAAACAAAGTATTGCGAATCATTATTTACATTTGAAACCTAGTCCTTGGAATGAAATTTAATATACTTTATACGTTTAATATATACTTATATATACTAATATACTTTTACATTTGTATACTTATCCTGCATTATTTGATGCATTTACTGATGTTTCTTGACAGTAAGACGAGTAAGTTATTCTAACCTGAAGTGAGAAAGTACCATCGCACAGCCGCCACATGACCAGGAAGAGGTGACGTCGCATACAAGCACATTACTGCTTTGAAATGTAGCATCTGAAGACTTTGTGTGGAGGTAACACTGCGTTGGAGGGGCACTTAGATGAAGTAATACAGGATAAGTATACAAATGTAAAAAATATTTAGATTTGACTAAATTTTTTAACTTATCTTGCATTACTCCTTAATGCATATTTATCAGATGGTACAGAGGTGGGCATACCATCAGATGTGAGCAGAAGAAATCCATGACAAAGTCTCAGAAACTCCCTGCACGATTACCGGGAAACAATGAGTGAAAATGAAAGTGTGAGGAATATAGGAAAACTGAGTAAGGGAACAATAATAGGAAAAAAGCGTGCGCTAAAATCTAGAACTGACCTACCGAGGGAATGCTAACAGCATGTGAGCCCTCTAATCTGGGGTGATAAAAACAGGAGAGGTAGATGGGCCCGCTCAATAGTCTATGATGATCAATGACGATGAGAGTTGGTGACTTGTTGAGCCACCACCAGAGGACCGAAACTATGAGCACCAGTGACATCCTCAAATGCCACATCACATAAATAATGATTGGTGAAGACAGTATTGGAATGCCAGAAACACCCTTCCATAATAGACTTGAGGGAGCAGCTACTATTGAGAGCCATTGTCAATGCAACCGCTCTAAATTTTGAGTGGGGTGTTGGCCTTGGGAGGGACTAAACCGGCTGCCGCATACGCCTGAAGAATAATTGCAAGTAGCCATGAGATCGTATTACTGGGTAACCTCTGTCTGTGAAGTAGGAGAAACCAGGATGAAACGCTGATTCCTAGACTTGCGTTGAACCTTAGATCATCTGAGGAAACATTGCAATGCATGTACAGGGCGCAATAAAAGCTCCTCTTCGTCATCTGCTCCCACGATCAACTAGAGGGGTGTGATGGTGAAAGTCTTATCTGGCTATCCTGGGAGTTGATTCTTGGCAATAGAAATCCCAGCACAGCCCAAGATGAACAGCTCCAAGAGTGCCATGCTCAAAACAGACAGAGTGACGTCTGAGGCATGCAGTTTGCTGACCCGCCCCGCTGTAGCGAGAACCAAGAAGAAAACCATTTTCTTAGTAAGGTCGTAAAAGGATGATGAAAGTAGGGGCTCAAACAGATCCACAGGCTGGGTTCGGGACGTGGCTTCCAATTGAAACAATTGCTGCAAAGTAGACATCATCAAGGGTGGTGCAAACACTGTAGCCGCATCAGAAACATAGATCGGCGCAGACTTCACCGGTGAGATCGCTGTACCGCTGTAGGACGTAACATTAACCATCAGCTAAGCAGTTGACATAGTAGGGGTTGTAGTAGTTGTCAACTTCAAAGATGATGAGGTGGTCAACTGCAACACAGTCGTAGAGATTGGCGCAGCCGAAGTAGATGGTGTAGCTGCAAGATTGGACATCCCGGGGTGTCAGTGAGCATGCTGAGTACGGCGTTTTCTAATGGCTTTCAAATAGAGCGTGAAGTCGGCTGGAGACAGGGGAGTACAAAAACAACACATGGACTCCGTCAAGCAAGGGTTTGTGCAGTCTAAGAACAGCGGATGTTGTGTGACAGCTTGTTCGAGTGACATACAATACAACAAGGCATAAATCAGTAATATAAGCAAAGTCATATTGACAAATGTGTAAACACACAACGAGCAATGGAAAAAAACTTATTCCTCAAAAATGCAAAACATGCTAATAAGAGATAAATTTCATGAAATAAACTTCTTTCCATAAAAATTGTAAAAAATAAAAATTCGTAAAAAAATAAATTTCAAAAGGCACCACTTAAGTATGTGCCTGATAGCTTTGCCAAGTTTCGATCAAATACACTGAATGGTTTTCGAATTCTGCCCCGGAAACGAACCCCATCCCCAATTGAGTCTATGTCCAACTTTATTCCATAAAAATTGTAAAAAATAAAAATTAGAAAAATCCCAAAATATCAAAAGGCAACACTTCAGTATGTGCCTGATAGCTTTGCCAAGTTTCGTTCAAATACACTGAATGGTTTTTCGAATTCTCCCCCGGAAAAGGAAATGATTATGGACGGACGGACAGACGGACAGACTGGCTGATCGCTATATCCCCCCGCATTATATGCAGGGGGGATAAAAATAGATAAAAGTCCTAAACAGCAAAAGGCACTAGTTCAGTATGTGCCTGATAGACATGCAAAGTTTTGTAAGAAAGTATTAAACAGTTTTTGAGTTACGCTCCAGAATTGAACACCAACCTTATAGAACCTAAGTTCAACTTGTTACCATGGAAACGTAAAAAATAAAGATTTCTAAAATTCATAAATAGCAAAAGGCACCAGTATGTGCCTGTTACACATGCAAAGTTTTGTAAGAAAGTATTTAACAGTTTTTGAGTTATGCTCCAGAATCGAACTCTACCCTTCTCTAAGTCCATCTTGTTGCAATGGAAATGTAAAACACATTAACATTTCTAAAATTCCAAAATAACAAAAGGCACAACTTCACCACTTAAGTGATATAAATGCAAAGTTTGATGAAGAAATATTTAACGGTTTTTGAGTTCTGCTCCGGAAACGATTCAGACAAACAGACAGACGGACGGACAGACATGCCCATAGCTATATCGCCCCACATCAAAGCACAAACCATAGACAACAACACAATGTGATATTAATAAACAAGAGATGCTGAAAACTGTAAATCTTTTTTCTCAAAAGACACATCTCTTGTGCTTTTATGTGACGTCACTACTTTCGGGTCACGCGGAGGCTGTGCGACGGTACTACCACACTTCAGGTTGGAACAACTTTCTTTTACAGCTGAATCTCTCACAGTTTGTCTTTCTGACAAAAACAGTAGTAAATGCATTAAGGAGTAATGCAGGATAAGTTAGAAAGTTATACCTTTTCAAACCTGAAACATATCTTTAGGCATTTTCATTTATTTAACTAAAATGTGTTGATAATCCACATGTTTCAGTACAGCTGACTTTCATTCACTGGCTTTTAAAAGGAAATGAATGAAAACAAAACTCTTAAAAAAAGTAGGGGAAACTTGGAAATAACTTCAAATTTCCAAAATTGAAAGAGATATTAGTTTCTAGTAATAGTTCTATAATGATAATGAATGAATTGGGAACAAATAACTACTGGTAGTGAAGTATGTCAGCAGATGTAACAACTGCCATTGATTTCGAAGAATGATAGGAGTTAAGATCGGAAATTTCAAAACTGAGATTTTTGTTATCAGTAGTGTGTGATACCACCATGATTAATCAAACATTCATTCATACTGCATATGCGTCTCCCAATGATGATTTGAAGGAGTCAGCCCCACTCCTATTGCAGTGCCTGGCTAAGTTCAGACCGATGTGGCCGGCAGCCTATGACACTGACACACACTTCTTCCAGTCATGTCCCTGACGTGTTCAAAGGGACAAAGGTCTGCGCTCCTTGCTGGTGATGACTGATAGATGTAAATATCAAACTATGAAATTCAGAAACGATATCCAAAGCAATCTTAGTCATCTTATCATCCAAATAATCAGAAATCTACACAGGCTTTCACTTTGGGGAGATATCAAACAATAACCATCTTTTCCCTCAAAATGCATATTTCCAAATAACGATATCCAATGATATTACACCATTCTTTTTGACTGGGTTTATGTTCAATAAATTTATTAACATGTGCCCTTTATATAATAATATCGAAATTTTCACAGATCATGGGTAACCAATCAGTGTTCAGACGTGCGTACAGATATTGCCTCAAAGTACTTCTCTGTTGTCCATACAGATGGTAGCCTATAGTCTTTTGCGGTGCTCACTTTTGTTAACAAGCAAATTGACGCACATAGCAGAAAAACCCTATAGCAGAAAAACCCTATAGCAGAAAAACCCTATACCGGGTGGTGTCGGACAACAGAGCAGAAGTCAGAGCCTAGTGCTCCTTTAAGAGGCAAATCAAGGCTCAGAGCCAAAGGTATTGATAATCAGTGTCAGTCAGGTACATGTATGGTACTCGACAACTGACACCACAATAGGAGTGCTAACATACAATTTTCCGTTCTAGTTAAAAGACTTACACTATAGTTACAGTTAACCCGTTTCAAATGATCATAAATAAAGGAGACAGTTGGGATCACTTCTTATCTGTATTGTTTCTAGTTATTTGGTTTAACGAGATTAACCAGATGCAATTGTATATCTACCCTCATGCAGTGCAGTCTTGGATGTCTGCAATTTTCTGTTATCTTCCTGGGAGGAAATTCATTTGACAACTTGACAGTTTTGCACATTTGGCACTTCATTTCCACAGCAAATAGAAACCTGAAATAAAACACAAATAAGAACAATCATAAATGATTTTGTATTTTAAAACTTTAATATATCAAGAATATATTTTTGGTAAAGTCATTTAGCATAGTGACATTGAATGCAAACAGTGAAGTCTTGAACAAACTTGGCTCTTCTTGTAGATATTACTTTCACACAAAGTTTAAGCCATGTGATATTTTGCGATATTTAAAAACAAAAAAACTTACAATAAAATCACATTGATTTAAATAAGATACATGTTTTCATAAGAAGGAACTGACATGACAAATTTCACCTTCAGGAGTCAAACATTATCAGAGGATAAGATATTTAAGGGCATGGTAATGGGTAATGGTCTTTCAACTGCAGAGATCAGTGTCTGGGTTAAAGTAGTCCAGTACAAGAAGGAGACCCATGCTTGAAGTGCTGTAGGTCCCTAAGACTTGCATTGGCTTTGACCAGTCAAACTAACAAATTGTCAAAAAATGCTGGCCTGATATCCATGGACAGTTTGGGCCTGTTGAATTTCTTTTTCTATTTTCTCCAATATCAAAATGTGCCCTGTCTGGACCATCTTACCAACAGCCTCTCCCAATGTCACTGGAATCTTTCTTTTTGTAACCAAAGCAACCATATGCAAAAACCTACTTGCCATTGCTCCTGAATGTACACAGTTATTGTATGAAACATGGTGGCAGGCTAGTGTTTGTTGGGGTCTGCACCCATTTTGATTTTTATTGCCCATGACAGCATTTCACTTTGGTGGCACCCACTATTATGCCATTAAGGACAAAATGAAACACAATGACACATACATGTAAGGCCCTACCAAAAACTACAGTAATGCCAAATTGCAATACATTTTGAAAAAAAATTGGCCGATTAATTGCCATTAATCTGATCATTTATGCAAAGTTTCAGTTCCACAGGACTTGTAGTTTCAGAAGAGATGTCACAAATGCATTAATACGGTAAAAACAGAGATATGTGAGAGTTAAAGGTCTTAACTGGAACAAATATCAAACTATTTTCACATACATATATGATATTTTGAAAACCACCTACTTGCCTATCTAATTTCTTAATGATACATGCAGTTATGGCAAAAACTTTTATGTTCAACTTGAGCCCCTTGACTTTCAGTCAGGTGAGCTAAAAATGGCCATGGCTGAGATATTGAAAATAATCTTCGACCTTCTGAAAAATTTAAGTTGTAATCATTAGTGGGAACAAGACTGAAATTTCAGCTTCATTAATCCAGTGGTTTATGAGGAGATGTTTACAATGGATGACTCATGATTTTCAGATTTTCAACAAACGTCCTCTTCACTGTCAATTATGCACAACTAGTTGTCACCAAGTAGTCTCATTACTACCCATGCCATGATGTCATAATGGCAGCAACCTCACCTTTTTCCCTCATCACCTACTAGAGGTAGATGAATTGGGGAGGTGGGAGGGAGTAATTTTGTATGTAATAGAGGTAGTATTCTTAGAATTATTAACAGTGCTATTAACTATTGTTCGATAATTCTTACGAAATTATCAGCAATCTTCTTTTGGAAACCATAATGGACTGATTCTAATCCTACTGAGATAATTTCCACTGAAATTCCCCTTGAGGACTTGAAAATCAGAAACTATGTCAACAATCAGTCAAATATGTATCAGTCAATATATATTTGCTGATTTAGACCATAACAAGAGTTTATCACTAACGTGGCTGTATCCCTTGCCACTGTTGCAGAATTTATGACATAATTAAATCTAAACAAACCAAAACCTTTTTTAACCGAGGTGGAACTTGTTGTCATGGAAATTGTAAAAAAAAGAAGAGTTTGTCACTAACCTGGCCAAGTCTCCTGCCCAGCAATGAAGTGTATATTATGTCAACAACAGTGAAATTTGATCACACAAACACATACACTTTTTTTTAAATATCTAAAGAATCTTTTCTATTTATTTCGATCTACTAATATATTTTACAACATTTATATGTGAGCCATCTATCATTTATATATAACTGTAGTATTATAAATTTGCACCTTACATTGATGTAAATGACCTAACATGATTATATTGTAGCATATGTATGAAAGAAATGAGAATATATGGATGTCAACTTCTTTATTATGAGGAACACAATGTTTCTGAGTATATGCTTGATCCCCCTGATGATAGAGTAAGCATAGACTCCGAAACGTTGTGTTCCTCATAATAAAGAAGTTGACATCCATATATTCTCTTTCTCATATGTATGTTGTGTTCGAAATATAGCTGAAACACCCCTCGTTATTGTAAATTTAAATACATTTATATTTTCTTTCTTTCAATAGGTATTTTTTCACATTTTTCATGTGATACCACTTACATTCATGGCCTTGATGGTTGGTCTTGAACCCGACAACAGGTTTGACAGGAATGCAGTGTAAAATCAGAATGCAAGAAGTAGTGGATACACAGAGATGTGATGTAGGTGCAGAGGTGCGACCACCATCACAGAGACTAGTAGTCTGAGATATTGCCGGCGTCATGTCGGTTGTGTAAGGAGTCAGTGACTGAGGTTTTTAGCTCAATATGTAGGACAACAACGTTATCAGTATAACCCTATTTTACACCGAGAGGGTGACTCATGATGCCCCAACTAGAGGCGGTTGTCATAAGCAGGACTATATTGTTTTCACGTTTTGGCTGAGAGGCATATTGATGAAGAACGTATTGAACGCCATCATACTGCAGGGTGCTTATTCTACGTTATAAGTGTAGATTATGATTAACAGCTTACCATGGGTGACATTTGATCATACATTTTAGAGATCATTCATATTAATTGTTTACCGCAAACGTTCAATAGATCAACCAGCTATGATAAACTAAGCGCCTGAAAAGCGTCAGTCATGTATAATACATCTTAATAATGAGGTGCATGTTTCAATGTCACCATTCCATTCTAATTCCATTGCATTTATAAACAAGAGGCCCATGTATCGCTCACCTGGATATTTATGCAATCATGACAAAATATACATTTGCATTGTACATATATATAATACTGCAAATATTTCGTAATTTTGACTCTGTCAGCATTTAAAGAAGGTGGATGGCAAATCTGACAGCATGAACGTGTATTTCTCTTGATACAAACGTAGCATAAAGATCTGAACCATTTCCATGTTATGATCCAGGATCTAAGTTTCCAGAGGCATTGGCATAAATGTATTATTCTCTTGATTAAAAAATGTATACAATGTATCTGTTAATCATAGGGTGGGGATAATATGAGTTTGCATGTTATGGTCAAGGTTCTAACTCCTTTGGGAGCGCCGGACAGATGAACAGAAGGGCCAGTCCTGGTAGCATATGTGCATTCCTCTCATTATACTCAGCAATTGTACATATGTTTATACAGTGGGGAGTTATAAACGCTTTTTGGCCCTGTCCCTCAGCCCCTCCGTTTGTACAAATGTGAATTCCCACCATCTGAGAATATGGTTGATATCTATCTCTTAGTTCCAGAGAAGTCATTTAAAGCAATATTGCCAAATTACCTTTTTAGCCTCACCCCTCAGTCCCCAGAGGTAGGGGTGGGGTTCAGTCCCTCCATTGCTCCAATTTGAATCCCCACATTGGAGAATGCTTCCAACCAAATATGGTTGATATCTATCTCTAAGTTCCAGAGAGAAAGTCGTTTAAAGCAATATAGCCAAATTACCACTATTTGGCCCTGCCCCTCAGCCCCTTTGGGGGTGATCAGCCCTTCCATTTGTACAATTTTGAATTCTCCCCAACAGAGAATGCTTCCAAGCATATATGGTTGATATCGATCTCTAAGTTCCAGAGAAGAAGTCATTTAAAGCCAAATTACTCCAAATTGGCCCCGCCCCTCAGCCCCTTGGGGCGTCAGTCCCACTACCGGTATTTGTACAAGTTTGAATCCTCACCACCGGAGAATGCTTCAAACCATATGTGGTTGATAAGTATCTCTTAGTTTCAGAGAAGAAGTCGTTTAAAGCAATATAGCCATGTTACCCCTATTTGGCCCCATTTGTAAATTTTTAATCCCCACCACCTAGGGATGCTTCCAATCAAATATCTGGTCAGGCTCGCTGACTTGGTTGATGCATGTCATTGATCCCAACTGAGTATAGATATTAATCACTGGATTGTCTGGTCCAGACTTGATTATTTACAGACTGCCCTCATAGAGCTGGAATATTGCTGAGTGCAGCATTAAACAACAAACCAACCAACCAACCAACCAATATATGGTTGATATCTATCTCTTAGTTCTAGAGAAGAAGTCGTTTAAAGCAATATAGCCAAATTACCCCTATTTGGCCCTGCCCCTCAGCCCCTTTGGGGGTGATCAGCCCTTCCATTTGTAAAATTTTGAATTCTCCCCAACAGAGAATGCTTCCAAGCATATATATGGTTGATATCGATCTCTAAGTTCCAGAGAAGAAGTCGTTTAAAGCAATATAGCCAAATTACTCCAAATTGGCCACGCCCCTCAGCCCCTTGGGGGTTCAGTCCCACCATTTGTGTCCGAGTACTACAGGCGCTGTCGTCTAGCTCACATGTACAGTATCCAGGTTCGGGCTGAGCAAGATGTTCTTTGCCTGTTGGTCAATTTTGAAACCACCAACAGTTGTCTCCCTTTGTATATGCAATATTTCCGTTCAAATCTGACGATACATTCGTGTGTTGTATTGCGATGATTGTTATGTCTCCGGGTACTGCCTCCCCCGCTCTACATGTATTTCAAAGTGTAAGCGCTTGCTTTTTAGTTCTTCGTGGTAGTTACGCCACTGTATTATGGGGGGCCCTTTCAGCCTTATTAAATTACAGGTCTGGCTACCTGCCATAAATCATTGAGATTACAACGGCCTCATAGTCATAAGCATTGATAGGCGGGCACTCGTTGTGCACACTGTCAACAAGGATCGAGGGCCTCGTACTATATTTTTCTGTAGTTAGAGTCACAAATGAGCGCAGAGAATAACATTGCATTAATTTATCATAATGTACACACTGATAAATCCTGAGTTACTACAGAATTTAAATCAATATTTTTTCTCTAGTTTCCTAATGATTACAATATCTGCATGTCTTACCTTATGTCAGGGTAAACAACAAATAATTTCCATCAACATAGGCACATCCCACATGGACGACACGATAGGGACGTCAGTAGAAAGGGTAAGAACCTGCAAACATTGAGGTATATTATCATAGCATCAATCAATACATACGAAACATCAAGTATATATGAAATAAGTGTCGCAGCATGGCATCTGAGGTAGTCATTAATATTTTTCTTGTTCTTATTCAACCGGAATAAAATACTCCACTCCATTAACCTTTCCAGCAATGGAATGGCCCATATGACGCAAATTCACGTGATACAATTTCCAGGAAGGATACAATTTCCAGGAAGGACTGTACTTCTAGTTTCGTTTTGATGAAACAGTATCTGGAATTTACGGTACATCAGTAGGGCCACAGCGTTTCATTTTGTAACTATTATTTCAAGATATATGTTGAACTTTCAACTTAAAAACTCGAATTTTCATGATAGAAACGCGAATTTCTACTTAATTTCTTGAATTTTCATGACATTATCTCGAATTATTAGGAAAGTCTGTTGCATATTCTAGGTAATTAAAAAAATATCATTACCTTAAAAGGTTTCCGTAGAAGATTCTCTGCGGAGTTTGATCATCTGAATATTGATTGTGTGGTGTCTAACGGCAGTAACGCTCCGAGTATGGACATGCATTCAAGCATTTATGTTCGGATACATTGAACACTTTTATACTTTACTTATCTCTGAATTGTTTATTTCCTAGAATTTAGGACAAGAGGGAGTGGGGCTGTATAGCAGTCGTGGCTGTGGTCAGAGGACCTTTGGTCAGAAGTATGTGCATGGTGACGTGTCGTGTGTAACCTGCAACTCCAGGGTCGACATCGTCTACATCGCCACTCGAGGGAAATTAACAAGTACGAGATAATATCCACCAGGTGAGTATTAGAAAAGTAAACCACAACACACTCTTTGATTTTGTGACCATGCAGGAACGAGGACATGGTCTAAATTCTAGTATCCCTGAGAGAAAAACCTGCAATTTCGTCTCCTCAACGCGATCTCAGTGCTATGACGACTGCAAATACCATAAACTTTGTCATAGCAGAGACCATATACCGAGGGACACTCCTCAGCAGTAGATTATCATTAATGATCACTGCCGCGGTAATATGCCGTCAGTATATGGCCTCAGGTCATAGTGTTACAAATGTGGTAGCGCTTCACTCTCTTTGTGCAGGTTGACCATGGTTTTAGTGACTTTTACCCTATTTTAGCTCACCTTGATAAGGACATTGTCATAGTGAGCTAAATGGGTTAAGTTTGTCCTTCCATCCTAATAACTCTTCTGTTGTTAAACATGTCAATAACTTATTTCTGTAACATGTTCTAAATTTTATGTCTTTGGCTTCAGATTAGTAGACTTTACATTGATTGTTGTCAATAACTTATTTCTGTAACATGTTCTAAATTTTATGTCTTTGGCTTCAAATTAGTAGACTTTACATTGATTGTTGGAATGATTGAAGAATGCAATTAATCAAACATCACAGTTTTGAAGTTCAATGAAATGCTTGAGTCACTTGTGCTTTGTATGAATTCCTGATTGCAATAAATCTATGTTTTATTGCCTCCTCAGGTGCTATGAATTGCTGTGCAGAGTTGTGTCCCTTAGGCATGCCAGAAACCTATGATTGTGGGTTCAAATCCCTGTTCGCCACAATTATGTTTCTAGGTTTGTCAGCACCATACCCGTGCTCTTGGGTTTCACCGAAGCGGTAAACGTCTGAGACCTGCACCACTTCAGGCTTTCTTCCCACATTAAGCTGACACGCCGTGATATAATTGGAATAATGTTAAAAGCGGCTTTAAACCCAACTCACTCATCAGATCTCTCAATCTCACTGTTAAACTTCTCTGAGAATCAAAAGAGATTTCACAAAATGTTAATAGAACATAAAAAGTATTAATAAAAAGTTTGTGTGTATTTGTAAGTATGGTTTTAAGACATGTTAGCAACCCTTGCTTGCCGTAAAAGGCAACTATGCTTGTCGTAAGAGGCAACTAATTGAATCGGGTGGTCAGTCTCGTTGGCTTGGTTGATGCATGTCATCTGTCCCAATTGTGTGGATCAATGTGCATGACGTCAATCACTGGATTGTCTGGTCCAGACTCGATTATTTACAGACTGCCATCATATAGCTGGAATATTGCTGAGTACGGCGTTAAACAACAAACCAACTAACCAACCACATCTTTAACCACTCATTTTTTATAACAGAAAGTAAAGGTGATCTTCTGTATCTCTGGTACTCAGGGTCTTTTCCAAACATTTTTGACATCATAATTTTCCTGATGCCTTTTTTGCAGCAAGAATTTGATGCTCTACGTCCCTGTTATCATTAACTTGTATTGATGTCTTGGATACAACATTAAACCCCGATTCACCCCACATCTCGATCGGCTTCAGATAGTTTTCCTCTTTCTTTTTTTTCAGAGGATGACTTTAATTACATATGGTTAATGCTATCTAGCATTTGGAACAAATAAAGAAATGGCTACAAAAGGGAAAGGATTAAGTAAGTATACATATCCCTTTACCTATGTTTAATTATACCCCCGTTTACGAAGTAAATTGGGGGTATATAGCGTTCCGTCTGTCTGTCCGTCCGTCCGTCCGTCCTTTCCTTCCGAGCTTTTGTACGGCCCATACCTTTTTAACCATGCACTCTAGCTTCATCAAACGTGCTACACCTATTTACCACAATGAGTACTTGTGCTTTTGCTAGTTTGAAGATTCTGAATTTTTTAATTTTTGCCGTTTCCATGGACACATTAAGAAACTTTTAGGGTGGGTGTTTTGTACCGCCCATATCTTTTTAACTATGCATCCTAGCTTCATCAAGCTTGCTCCACACATTTACCACAATGAGTACTGTATTTCCTCATATGCCCGGCTTTCAGTACCGTAATTATGGCAGACCTTGATACAGCAGTAGAGATCAGAATGTAATGGGGGATTGAGATTTTCATTGAAACTCTGTAATCTCCCAACATTTATTGGAGACAGATTTTTGATAGATAATTCTCTGTTGCTCTTTTTCGTTTAATGTATAATAAGTATGCGTCATGCTTTGTAGTTAATTTCCAGTATCAAAGGATTCCAAGAATGTATGTTGTGCTAAGCATTGATTATCCCACACTAGATTGAATTATATTTGCAAAAACATGTGTTCATTTCAAACATAATGCATCCTCATGGGGTTACAAAGGAAAGGGCAGTTCCTCTGACTTAAAGCAACAGGTATATTTCATTAATTAACAAACTATTTACTATTTGTTGTTGACCAGCGGGGATAACAGGGGTATATGAGCTTTGCTCACTTCTTTCTTGTTCACTTAAGGTCAAAAACTTATACTACTTATACTAAGGTCAAAGTGAGCTAATACTACTGTCTATCTGTCTGTCTACTTCACCTCAGACTGCCATCATACAGCTGGCATATTGCTGAATTCAGCATTAAACAACAAGCAAATAAACAAAACATCCCCTCTGAAAGGTGGTGGGTCAGCTTAGTGGTTAAAGCGTTGGCTCGTCAACCGGAAGATGCGGATTTTGTACATGGGTAAAATGTGTAAAGCATATTTCTGGTGTACCCTGTTGTGATATTGCTGGAATATTGCTAAAATCACCCTCACTTTGTCAGCACCATACCCGGGCTCGTGGGAGACCTGCATCACTTCAAGCTTTCCTCCCACATTGAGCTGACACGCCACGATATAACTGGGATATTGTTAAAAGCAGCGTTAAACCCAACTCACTCACTCACTCACCATCTCACTCACTCTCTTCACAATTATTTTCCATTAAACGCACAATCATGTGTTGAAGTTGGTTATTAATATTAACAAATAATAATCAGTGACCTAACTAAAAATACTAGTTTTGTAATATTTCATGTCTGATTAAAAGATATTTTCTTTGTTACCATGTACATTTGTGACAGGTGACATGCAAGATTTAGTTGGTTGGTTTGTTGTTTAAAGCCGCACTCAGCAATATTCCAGCTATATGACGGCGGTCTGTAAATAATCGAGTCTGGACCAAACAATCCAGTGATTAATATCACGAGCATCGATCCGCACAATTGGGATCGATGACATGCATCAACCAAGTCAGCGAGTCTGACCACCTGATCCCATTAGTCGCCTCTTATGACAAGCATAGTCGCCTTGACATGCAAGAATGCTTGTTGCATGCATAACAACCCTAGGTCATCCCACACCTGCGTATTCCAACAGTGTTGGTATAGGCGAGAAATCTTGTGTAACGTGGAGGAGCTTTGATGTCAAAGGATGCTGGTTGTATTATTCTTTAGGTGTATTGTTTTTTAAACGTGAATCAAATTTTTAAAAATAATATCACAAGGACTTTATTCTGAATTGCCTCCCCTGATAAGTGTTTGAGCCTGCAGATGACAAAACAAATTTGGCCTTCCCCAAACTCAAGAAAGAGGAAAAGCTAGACAGTTTTGAAAGATGTCATTTCACTGATCTTATTGATGACGCAGACATTGAACTCAGATTTTTCTGAAAATATTGCATCTAAAGTAATGTCCTGACGTTCTAGTATATTATTAAGTTTTCATCTACTGAGGCAGTTAAAATCTTATTTCATGTCATAACTCTTATTATTAATGTATTTACATGTCCTTGAGACATTTCCTCTTCATAGGGCTGGTATTAAATGTTACCTTGGATCATGCATGCAAAATTATGTTTGATTTATATTATGTCATTGTTGTCAGGTGTTAAATCGTCTGTTATTACCCCAACTGCAAGGTCATGTCAGTGGTCACAAAAGTACTTTGAAATGAATAAAATATTTTTATTTGGACATGAAATATTGCAAAACTAATACTTTGTAGTTAGGTCACTAATTGTTGGTTGATCTTCACCAACTTTCGTCACATGACAAAAACGGGTGCCAGAATTATGATTGATTGACTAGATGGTGTCTCTAACAAATGCACACAGAATTACTCAGCCATTTCTACATGTGACACTATGGAATTGGTGCAGCCAAATTGTAGCATGCAGAATAACGTATAATATGTTTTGGGAAATAACATCAATGGAAAAAAAGGCATAAGAAGCTGAAACCTTACCTTAACATACAGAAGTGGATAAATTCATTTTAAGGGTCCTTGCAGGCAGTATGAGGGTCCTGTAAAGTAATGAATTGGTGTAGTGTACTGTATGTTTAGATAATTACTTTAGAGCCTGGAATGAATCAGTGATCATGTGGACTGTGGTCATGATTGATGGTTCAAAATAATACCCACAGCTGCTCTTTTTGCGCTATAGGTACTATAAAGATTTTGTGAAGTCCCTCAGGACACAGTATATTTTTATGTTATGGATCCAAAATCTATTTCACAAACTGATCCCAGAACATTGAAAGAGATATTAACTAACACACCAAATCAAAACTTACTGTTGAGGCATTCAGGAAAACATCTTCCCGAGGCAAGGTGTTAGCTGACTAGAAAAGTCCATTTTCCACCCTTGCAGAACTATGATGGAACTTCCAGGGTCGATCGTAGCGTCACCAGCAGCGGCTATTCCAAGTTTTGTCCCTTCTATGTCGATCCTATTGACAATCATATTATAGAAATTGTAGTTACTTGTTCCATGTTTGTTCATATTTTTGGCATCAGTATTTATGCAGAAATGCAATGCTGACAGCAGCTTCATTTAAGAAGCTGTCTCCGGTAATATTTTTAGAACTGTTCACTTCATATCCAGGTGTATGGGCTACAGTCATGCCTGGGACACCCATGCCCTGCCCCCCCCCCAAAAAAAAATAAATAAATAAATTAAAATAAATTAAAATAAAATAAAATTATCATTGAAAGTCCTAAGGACCTAAGTATATGCTTGGATCATTTACACTAGCAAAGGTAGATGAAGTGATGCATGGGACTCAAAATGTTTTTGTTGTTTTGACTGTTGAAATTGATATCATAATATTGTCTTAAGTTTTAAAATCTTTCCTTTCTGCAAGGATTATCAATGTGGATGAATAACTATCAGAGATGCCAACCATTACGCTTCTAAGCCTAAAATTACGCAATTATGCTTGTCATCCCCAAATTTTGATTTTTGACATTTTGTTCACGAATTATTTACATGCATAAAATATCACGGAGGTCAAATTGTTAATGCACTGGTCACATGGTGCAGTCTACAGAGATCTAATTGCATGTACACCAATATTTCTTCTGAACTCAAAACACTGTTTTTCTGCAATTCAGTTAATGCTTTGACCACATGTTTCACCAATAATGCAGGTATACTGGACAACTTCCTTCAGTTTTTCCGACACCCCTTTTTATCCCCCCGACATATTATGATGGGGGGATATAGCCATCAGTCCGTCTGTCCGTCTGTAATCATTGTTTGTCTGGAGCATATTTCCTAAACAGTACAACCTAGCTTCACAAAACTTGGTACACTTACCAGTCAGGCTCAGTAGTAGTGCCTTTTGCTACTTAGAGATTTTTAGAATTTTATATTTTTGTCGTTTCCATGGAAATATGATGAACTGAGGAAATTTGAGGGCACTGCTCTTGTCCAGAGCATATTTTCTAAACCGTACAACCTAGCTTTGCAAAACTTGGTACACTTAACAATCAGGCTCAGTAGAAGTGCCTTTTGCTATTTAGAGTTTTAGAATTTTATATTTTTGTTGTTAACATGGAAATATGATGAACTTAGGAAATTTGAGGGTAGTGCTCTTGTCCTGACCATATCTCCTGAACCATACAACTTAGCTTCTCAAACGTTTTTACACCTATCAAGCAGGTTATGTAGTGGTGCCTTTGCTATTATCTTTTTTCTTCTTTTTTCAATTTAAATTGAAAATTGATGAACTTAGGGTAATGTCCTCATCTGGAGCATATCTTCTAAACCATGCGACAGAGATTCACCAAACTTGATGCACATGTCAATCATGTTCACTAGTAGTGCAGTTTGTTATTTATAGATTTTAATCTTTTTAATTTGTAGCCACTGACATAATTCTAAGGTGTACTATTTACCGATATCATAGAGTACATTCTGTTTATGCCTTTGTGTCATGAAGCTACTACAGAGCTATTCATATGCAAATCTGCGAAGTTATTGTTATTACAATTTCATGAGATCATCAGAAAGTGAGCTACATGAACCAATATTTAATAACCTTCATTATATTTCTGGTTTTGGCATCAAGGAAAAAGATTTCCTTGCCAATCTGAATACATTTGAAGGTACACACAGTTTACCGACATGCCACGTCGGGGGGATATGTCATCTTCGGATGACTCTTGTTTTAAGATTAAGGGGGTATGGGTGGGCTTGGCCCCACAGCTTGAATTAAATGCTTTTGTAAGTAAATGTTAGCTTTAATTACCAAAATAATGCAAAATACTATGTGTTTTGTTGAAAAATGGCCCCAATGGATGCCACTGATAGGGTTGTCACACCTTGTTATGGGACCTTGTACTTTTTCAATGTTGATGTCCATTTTTCTGATGTTTATGGATTGCTTTGATATTCAATTTCGAGGTTAGTCAACATACTCCTGTTGTAAAACTTATTGATTTTAGTCATGAGCTAACAATATTAAATAGATTGCTGTGTATGTAGAAACCACATGTGAATAAAACATTATTTCCTTCATAGTTAAGTTTTGCCACATCTTCATATATATATTGAGTTGTGGTCCGATGAGACTCGTACGTGGTACGAGTTGAAAGCGCTAGCCAATTAAAACTGTGTTCAATCTTACTCCACTTATTTAATTATTACTATATATATATATATATATATATATATATATATATATATATGCCTTCAAAGTCATTACAAATGATGAATATCAAATTGAATTTATGTAAGAATATGTAACAGTAGATGTTAAAAACTGAACAGCTGGATGATCACAAGTATATAAGAATGTAATGTTTGAAATTTTCTGATGTGTACACAAATTCTTTCTTCAGCAATTGATGTTGGACTTTACCCTTGGGTAACCACAAGTGAAGGGGGAAAGAGTGACATCAGTGACATCAAGGCAGTGTATGATATCCTGAAAGATGTCCATTTACTTCAGACTCATTTAAGAGATGAGAACTATTTCAAATTGACGGGAGTTGAATCAGATGGCAAGTTTATAACCCTCAAGTGTTTGATATTTGATTTATGGGAGTTGAAAAGCCTGTCCAAGTCAGTAGAAGATGGCTCCCTTGGAAAGAAGCTGTCAAATTATGCTACAGAAAAAGGACTAAAAGTATGTCTTGGACTAGAAGTATGTCTTGGACTGAGGAAAACAGAAGTGTCATTTCAGCTTGATATCACAAAACGTGACTTCATTGATGCGGAAAGGTTTTTGAAAAAAACCAGGTATGAAAATATGTTTGACACTATTTAATTATGATTTCAGAACTATGTTACTAACCTATTCTTGACTTAATCCAAGAAAAGCATTTTCATTCAAAGTTTTAAGCTGTTGATAGGCATGCAGCCCCTTGTAAGGTCATGTCACTCAGTATGAACTAGGCGTAAAAAAGCTTTTGTACATGATAACTGGAGTATTTTTATCCCCTGCCCAACAAAGTTGGCGGGGGATATGGAAACGGGCTCCATCCGTCAGTCCGTCCGTCCGTCATGTTTTGTTTCCGGAGCATAACTCATAAACTGTTCAATATTTTTTCATGAAACTTTGCAGGTCTGTCAAGTACATGCTGAACTGGTGCCTTTTGCTATTTAGAAATTTTAGAAATTTTATTTTTTTACGTTTCCATGGCAACAAGATGGACTTAGGTTCTGTGAGGGTAGGGTTCGTTTCCGGAGCATAAGTCATAAACCGTTCAATATTTTTTCATCAAATTTTGCAGGTTTGTCAGGTACATGCTGAACTGGTGCCTTTTGCTATTTAGAAATTTTTATTTTTTACGTTTCCATGGCAACAAGATGGACTTAGGTTCCAAACTCCTCTTTTTTTTACAATTTCAATGCGAGTTCCACCTCGGTTTAAGAAGGTTAGGGTTTGTTTAGATTTAATTATGTCATCAATTCAGGGACGGAGGACATAGCCACATTAGTGGCAAACTCTTGTTTTTATAGAAATTGAACAAACTTAATATGCATGATCCCAAGGTGGGGGTCTCGATCATGTCAATTTTGATTCATGAGAATGCATTTTCCAGTCACTTATGATTGACTCTCAGTGATCAACTTAATGCCTGTCATATATCATGGCTGTGTCATATGTCAAATTTGCATGAAAGTCATTCACTCATGAATTGATTTGTAAGTAGTTTCATTCAGAAAGTATTGTCAGTTTGATATGGAGACACAAACTAAGTTTCAAAAAAGCATTGTTTTGCATGTGATTGGATGTCACTCAGTGGACAGTAGACATTCCGAAAAGCTTGCATAAATACAAATGTTACTTTATAGGGACTCATACTAATTGCTTATCTCATCCAATCATTATCAAATTCCAATCGTAAATGTATTTATTAGGGTAAAAATATACGTTATACTTATCCCAACTCATACTAATTGCTTGTCTCATCTCATTTCGAAAAGGTAGTGGAAACTCCTGTGCTGTGTTCGCAAGAACAGAGAAATACATCTCACCCGAACACACCCTTCAGTCACGCAGCCGCACTGGAAGCATGTGACCAAGCCAGGCACTCTTCACTCTCTTATTTTCACACCAACTGTGTGGTTGGATACAATTTCTGTGCTTTCATAATCCAAGCCATACTATCAAAATTAATAGTTTTTATCAAATTCCTTTGCTTGGATTATCTTTTTCAAACATTTCTGCATTGTACTATTAGTTTATTTTTATACTTTTAAGTTTTAAATTAATTTGAGTTGGACCGTAAAAGACGTGATTTTGCCAGGTTATATTCTTCAGCTGAAGCGGCTAGTGTTTCACACCTAAAAAGAAGGAAAAGAAGAGAAGTCCTTCGCTGCGTCCCTAATATAGGGTGATGGGAAGCAGGCTAAGGTGAAGAAACAGTCATCGACGAGGAAGAAGAGCAGCTCTTCATTGGTTCTGTGAAGACGTCCATGAAGGCAGCCATGAAAGCAGCCATGATGTCGACAGTATCATACTTCCATGCATGAAGACACTGACCTCCACGCAGCTCCCGTTGCTAGTAAACCAGATGTCACGCAGATGCAGACCCTCTCACACCTTCAGACCTGCATTTAACCTGTTCACACACCCCACAGCGTACACAAGCGCAGTCGTTTGCATGGCCTCCTACATTCACGTAACTAGCCTTTTGTCAACAAGATACCATACCTCCTTCATCTAATGACTACATTTGCTGATGTAACACAGCTCACATCTTTCATCAGAGGCTTCCAAGGATTACCTAAAGAAATGCCAAAAGAGGAATGTAGATCGCAGATCCAAATCAAAGGACACATAGCACGGACCTTCATCATCAAAAAAGCCTAGATGTACACCCCCAGCCACCATAACATAGCTTACAATTTGAGGATGCTGCTGTTTCAGACAGTTTTTTAGTCAGAGTTTCCCGCCAGTTCCTCCCTATCAACAAGTACCAGCGATCCATCCACTGCTACAATTTCCCAGGCTGAGAGTTGCATTTGAAGGGTCGACTTTCTCAGGAGAGATCGAGTCTCCCAAAGTCGACAACCTTAGGGACGATCTTCACGAGACTTCAATGTCGCACCAACCCTCCTAGCAGAAGGCACTTTGTCAGGAAGAGATCCATTGTATTCTTTGGCCTCAGACTCTCAACATCATTCCTACCAACACTCATCACGATGTTATGGATATGACAGGGAGATCGATAGGGATTGACATCCATCTATATCCCAGCGATACCAGCCTATCCGATACTACCTGTTACCCGTACCAAATTGATATTGGGATCATTGATATCAGCCTTACCCAGAACACCCTGCAATGCCTGACGATTATCGCTATGTCATGCCTCCCCATCGCCCTCGAGGTCGACCTTCCTCTCATTAAGGTTCTGAATCATCGGCTGATACAAATTCAGACTACCGAGCACCTGATAAGTTGTACTCTTCGGCTGTGTCGCATCCCTCTCAGACCCATGTGAGGGACCCTACTACTAATGCTGTTCCCCCAGTAACTAATCCCTTGCCGACTTCATGGGATCATAGAGATCAGACTCCACTTTGGCCTCACAGATTGGATTTCTACTACAGTCCATATTGGCGGCTTTACAGCTACGCAACAAAGGGTTGGGAACAACTCAGACTGGTACTGCTATCACGACCTCATTACAGACGACTCCTGCTACTACAGCCGTAGACAGGTCGGATAACACACCTACTCCTCCAGATAGCCAGGCTTCACCTCTTTCACAGGCAGCTATACCTAGGCTGAACCCTCTATGATTCTCCCCTGGATCGAGGACTCACTTAACCTACCTTGCAATACATCCAAGGAGGATTTACTTCAGGGATTTGTGATGACAGCTATCACGCTACTACCAGTGGCTATCATGACGGACCTCGCTAAGAAGTTGGACTTGGTCTTCGCGGCCTTGCATCGGCAGAAGGACAAGCGATCGACAAACATTTCATGTCCAAGATCTTGCGAGACTGGTATCGGCTGTCACTCATAGGAGTCCCTCCAACCACGTCCACGCCACTCCAGAGGGTTATCCGGCCCGTCAACTGACAACACTACAGGACATGATAGGTACATTGATATCAAAAGATGTCCTAGATTGTTTCGGTCACAGAACCCTGGGGTTCTACTCGCTGATATTTTTTGTTTCAAAGAAAGACAGCAAGAGATTTTGCATGATTTCAACATGAAGCTGTTCAATGCGTGGTTCTTAGAAAAAACGGCTCATTTTTGCATGACGTCAGTCGCATTCCTTCACACCCTAATTCGACAAGGGGACTACATGGTCAGCCTGGATCTACAAGACGCCTACCTGCATGTACCCATCCATCGCGAGCACTGCCATTACCCCCGGTTTATTTTCCAAGGTCGTCACTAACAGTGGAAGATGCTTCTATTTGGAATTTCTTCGGCCCCGTGGCTTTTTACCTGCCTCACAAAGCCCATCTCAAGGTTTCTATGCATCCAGACCCATGCCGACTGGAATGTTCTAATCAAGCATCTTGCCTTCACGCACAGACTACTTTGGCTAGTCAACATAGAAAAGTTGGAAACTCTCGGCAACTGAAGTTCGTCGGAGCTTCCTTTCTACACAGAAGATGATGAAGTTGTTTGTTCCGGCGGACAGGCAGAAGAAGATACAACGATTTGTTCACTCAAACAGAGTCTACATCTTCAACTTCGTCAACAGTTGCTTGGTCTTATAACGTCAACCCAACGTTTTCTCACCGAAAAAGGTCGACTACAACTACAGCCAATTCAGAGTTTTCTCAGACCTTATCTTCAAATTGACGATTGACGGGTCCCAATTCACCTCCCGATGTGCCTGTACAGACATCTGCAGTGGTGGCTATCCAAGATGAACGCCTGCTCTGGAGTTCCCCTGGAACCCTTTCTACCAATGCTTCACCTGTTTGTGAATGCATCGACAGTTGGTTGGGGATTGACCTGCAAGATCATCAGACATAAGGACTTTTGTCAGCAAACAGAATCAAACTTCCACATCAACAATCTCGAATTCAAGGTGGTCATTCTAGTGATCTCCCATTGGGCAGAAGTACTTTGGTCATCTCAACTCATGATACAGTCCAAAAACGTTGTTTGTTTGGTACAAGATGGGATCCACCATGTCAGCCTCCCTGCTGACCCTAACGATGGACTTCTTTCATCTGATCGATACATTCCGGGAGTCTGGGATCGATCTATTCAACACACAACTCCCAAGATTTGTCTGTCTGATTCCGGATCAATAGCCGTGGGAGTATGACACTTTCGACATAGTGAGAGAATCTCAAAGCTGACGCCTTTCCACCAACAGCACTTCTACCACAGGTTATTCAGAAGAGGGTCACCAGGACTCAGCTTTTCTGGATTTTGATTGTGCCTTACTGGTGAGCTCGCTGCTGGTTCACCGTGTTGGTACACCTTGCAAGAGGAAACTACTATCCACTTCCCTTGCGAAGTGATCTTCTCCTTCAACCTCACTCCAGCCTACTACATCCATCGCTGTACAACCTACATCTGTGCGTCTGCCCCAATTCCAGAAGTCCTTTGTCACAAAAGGGTACTCAAGGCGAGTAGCGAAGACCATTACACGGGCACATCATACTTCGACCAAATCCTTGTACGGACATAAATTGAAAGCCTTCGAGGGATACTGGCACGGCAGGTCTTATCACCTCTCCTACTACTGCAACTCCACTGCATGTTGCAGAATATCTTCAGCATCTTCGCTCCACTAGGAACCTGAAGGGTTCAACATAATCTACATATTTAGCAGCTCTAAATTTGCTACCACAACAAGAGTGAAGATCACTTGAGTCCCAGAACTTCTAGCTCTTCTCCGCTCTTACAAACTCGCCGACCAGTCCATATTTCGTCCAACCAAATGGGATTTGAACGTAATCCTTCGACACTTGTTGTCAGCAGAATAAGAACCACTAAAAGAGAAAGACTTCGAGCATATTACTCTCAAAACAGTCTTCCTCCTTACTTTGGCTACTGCTGCAAGGTTCAGCGAGATACCCGCCTTGGATGTCATTGGATTCGATTTGAGAGGCACAGACATGGAAAAGTCCATTTGGGTCTGCGATAGGACGTCATCGCCAAGAACCAACTCCGGGGACAGTTGGACAGGCTATTCACCATCCCATCTTTGGCCTCTATTCTACATCCTCATGATCGCCAGGCCATCTCGCTATGTGCAGTCAGAGCCTTGCAGATCGACCTGCAGGCGTCATCGACATTCCGACGATCCTGGACGAGATTGTTCATCCCCATACCCCAGGTGGTTACCTCAGAGGTTTCCTGTTCAGCGGTCTAATTTTAGTTAGGATCTACATTTCTCTGTGCCTACAACTTAGCAGAATTGCCTCCACCTCCGACATCGAATCCTCACAAGACGAGAGCTGTTGCATCCACCATGGCTCTACATAGCAAATGCTCCCTCAGTGCTATCATGGACGGATGTTTCTGGAAGTCCGACACAGTCTTTGTCTCCCATTATTAACGAGATATCCCTGTAACCGATGTTCAAGGGCTACTCCACTTTGGTCCGCTAGTCCTGGCTCAACAATTCACGACAGTCCGTCAACGCAGATGGAATGCGAGTACCACTCACGCAGTCGAGTATTTTGTATCGTGTACAACATGAATAAATAATTGTGCTACAGTCTGTCAGTACCTACGGCACCACCTCTTACACTCAACCCTCCACAGGTACACTATTCGGAGGTACTACTTTCCAAACTAACAGATACAATGGAATCACTTCTCGCCAAGGGAGCAGTAGAGGTTATTCCGCAGGATGTCCTCACCCCAGGGGTTCCATTCTCCGATTTTCTTGGTCCCAAATAAATTATCAAACGAAAACTTCAGACTGATCTACAACACGAATATTTTTAACAAGTATTATCTACAAAAGCCATAGAAATTCAGCATGCTTCTTCTACCTCAATTGCGACAGATGATAAGGCAGACGATCTAGCCAACATAGATCTGCGAGACACATGTCTACACATCCCAATTCATCTGGATTCCAGAAAATACCTCCGTATTCTTGTCAACGGCCGTCACTTTTATGGGCAGTCCTGCCTTGTGGCATTCCATGGCCCTGTTTTTTTTCCACGGATAACCAAACCAATCGTGACCTTCCTTCACAACTGGTCCTGGAAGATCACTGGATTACAATCCCAAACTGGGAATTTCAACATGCTAGCTGACCCCTTATGAAGGCCATCCAAACCATTGCTGATGGAATGGATGCTTCACCCAGAAACATTCCAGCTGACGATAAGGCCAGGAGGTTGCCCGGCAGTGGACCTATTTACAACCAGATTCAACAATCAAATAAGAACCTTTGTCTCCCCAGTTCCTCCATATTCTCTGGCATGGACAAATGATGCACTGTCAATATCATGGGAAGGACTTCATGCTTATACGAGGGCTGGCTGAAAAGTGGGATATCTCAATCGGATTGAAACAAACTTTTGCCACCAACAAGTACAATCATTTAATGAATCATAGACATAGAACTGCAACTGTAGTGTTATTATTGTCTTTGTACCAGACCATCTTGTGAACCTACCCATTGAAATCACCAGAAATGGACAAAACTGGCTATAGGGCAGTCATCAAGTACCTGCAACTGAAAGGGCTAACTCCAACACAGATACATGCTGACATGGTCTCCACTTTAGGGGATGATGCCCCTTCCTTTTCCACTGTAAAAAAGTGGGCTGTGGAATTCAAGCGTGGCAGAGAGAGCCTTGACAATGACCCGCGTCCAGGAAGGCCTTCAACAGCAACCATTCGGGAAAACATGACCTGGGTGCATGACATGGTGATGGCTGATCGATGATTGACCACTCGACATATTGCCAGTGTTGTGGGCATCTCTCATGAGAGGGTTGGGCACATTATCACCAACGAGTTGGGAATGACAAAAGTTTCTGCAAGATGGGTGCCAAAGCTCTTGACAGCGGATCAGAAACGTGTCAGATTCCTGACGTCCCTTGACAATTTATGCCATTTTGAAGCAGATCCCTATGAATTTTTGGCCCGATTTGTAACCATGGATGAGACCTGGATTCATCACTTTCAACCAGAAACCAAAATTCTGTCATAACAATGGAAGCATCTGGAATCAACCAGCCCCCCAAAAAGCCAAGTCGGTTCCTTCTGCTGGAAAGGTGATGGCTTCTTTTGGGATTCCAATGGTATTCTGCTGATTGACTATCTTGAAAAAGGCCAGACTATCAATGGAAGATATTATGAGACAGTTGCGTGAAGCTATCAAAGCTAAGCGACGGGGAATGCTCACTAAAGGAGTCTTGTTCCACCAAGACAATGCTCCTGTTCACAAATCGGTGGTTGCCATGTCAGCGACCCATGATTGTGGCTTCGAACTAATTGACCATCCCCCTTATTCACCTGATTTGGCCCCGTCAGACTTCCACCTGTTTCCCAAAATGAAAAATGAACTAGCCGGTCGCCATTTTCCTAGTAATGATGACGTCATTTCTGCTGTGAATGACTTTCTTAGGGTGGCTGAAGAAAATTTCTTCTTGACCGGCATCCAGGCCTTGCAGCATCTCTGGCAAAAGTGTGTAAACCTGGAAGGGGACTATGTGGAGAAATAAATGAAAACCATCGACTTGGTACAGGTCTTTCACAGTTAGGCTTAGAACTTTTCAGCCAGCCCTCGTATGTTCCTAGTTCCTAGTATGTTGCTAGTCTAAGGTAACAAGAACACATCTCCCAGACACACTATTCAATAAGACAAAAGTTATGTCTGGCGTTCTTTATTGTCAATGTCCTTTCGTTCTCACTGATGTTCTTTATTGTCAACATCCTTTCGTGCTCACTGACATTCTTATTTGAAAACGCCCTTTCGTGCTCACGGACGTTCTTTATTGAAAACGTCCTTTCGTGCTCACTGACGTTCTTTCGTACACATTGTTCTTTCTTTTCTTATGACGTGTTTTCGTAACATTTGACTATTTATATTGTATTTTGGCCTTTAGTAGTAACATTTAGTTTTAGTTTTCAACTTTGTATTTTTTTACCGAATGGCCGCCGATACAAATGACTTCTTCTTCTGAACCACTAATTAGAAATTAATGAAATTTGACTGGTTGGTGGGGATTCAAAATTGTACAAATGGTGGGGCTGACCCCCCAAGGGACTGAGGGGCGTGTCCAAATAGGGGTAATTTGGCTATATTGCTTTTTGACAACTTTTTCTCTGGAACTAAGAGATAAACATCAACCATATTTGGTTGGAAGTATTCTCAGGTGATGGGAATTCACAATTGTCCAAATGGAGGGGCTGAGTGTAATGAGAGGAATGTGCATATGCTGCCAGGACTGGCCCTTCTGTTCATCTGTCCGGCCCTCCCAAAGGAGTTAGAACCTTCTTTATGCATATCTTTATGCTATTCATGTATTTTTCATGCATCTTGTTTGTACCTGCTACCAATAAGACGACATGCTCACCCTTTTCGCGAACACCTTCCTGGTGTCATCACAGGTTTTCAGTGATCCATTCATATAGTTTTCACGGCTGTTTTGCCCTTTGTGTCATATGGAATCTGCTTCAGTGACTGTTTATTCTCTTTCGTTGACATTTTATACTGAGCTGGGACCCTGCTTTTGAAAGGTTTCACTCAAAATAAGTCAGAGGTCAATCTTATATCATTGTCATTCTTTTTAGGTATGGTTACCACTACAGACATTAGACTATATATTTGCTTGTATCGTTAGGAGCTTAGGGTATATAGCAGTGAAGGGTTTGCTTCTGTATTTGCAAGTATTTGCAAGTACTTGCAGGTACAATAAAAAACCTCTAGCTTTCACTAAGTAACTTGAGATTGTATGTTATAAGATATGGGGCAATCAGGACTTGAGCTGAGCTACAGAACCTTCTGAGTCTATTTAATTAACACTTTAGACAATTTAAAGAATGTTTGAGGTTTCAGTAACCACTTTTAACTTCATTCCAAAGTTGGATGACTTTATTATCCTAATTCCAACAAATCTGAATAATATTGCAAATATGAAATAAAAGATAAGCAAGAAAGTCAATTTCGTGGATATCTTTCTGTAGGTGTGAATATCAAGATAATTCTCGACAAAAGGACAATTCAGAAAATCAAGGCAGACAGGAAGAGAAAATTTCTGATGGGGAATCACAAGACAAAAGACAAAGATCATTGTCTAAAAGTCAGAATGGGACAGGAAATACTTCACAAGGAGCAGAATTGACCACATGTCAACAGGGAAGGGACACTCAACTTGGCAACACCACTGTGAGTATGCATGTATAATTAAAGGAAAGACGCCTTAGGTTAATTTCAAATTTGGTAAACAAAATTCTGTTGTCTTGGTAGTACTGTTAATTGCATTGCCGTAGCAGTCATAGTGATCGTTCTATATATTACATATTGAAATACAGTGCAATCTTACATAAAAAAATCAGAACAAACAATTTGTCTAATTATACCCCCGTTTACGAAGTAAATCGGGGGTATATAGCGTTCCGTTCGTCCGTCCGAGCTTTTGTACGGTCCATAACTTTTCAACCATGCACCCTAGCTTCACCAAACTTGCTACACACATTTACCACAATGAGTACTTGTGCCTTTTGCTAGTTTGAAGATTCTGAACTTTTTAATTTTTGCCGTTTCCATGGAAACATTAAGAAACTTAAACTTTTAGGGTGGGTGTTTTGTACGGCCTATATCTTTTTAACTATACACCCTAGCTTCACCAAACTTTCTACACACATTAACCACAATGAGTACTTGTGCCTTTTGCTAGTTTGAAGATTCTGAACTTTTTAAATTTTTGCCTTTTCCATGGAAACATTAGAAACTTAAACTTTTAGGGTGGGTGTTTTGTATGGCCTATATCTATTTAACTATGCACTCTAGATTCACCAAACTTTCTACACACATTAACCACAATGAGTACTTGTGCCATTTGCTAGTTTGAAGATTGTGAATTTTTAATTTTTGCCGTTTTACATGGAATCATGGTGAACATGGTGAAACATAAATTTTGGGTAGAGTTTTTGTGCGATCCATGCTTACAATATTATGTGTCCTAGCTTCAGCAAACTTGCTACATTAACCGCTATGATTGTTTTTTTATCTTTTATAACATTCTGAAAGTTTTGTCTTTTGCTGTTTTCTTGGAAACATGATGGAATTTAGAAATTTTGATGATTGGTTTTGTATAGCTAATATATTGTCACTGGAACTCAATCTTAGTTTTTAAAACATTGAAGTTAAAATCAGTTAGAAATATGTAATATTTCATTAATTAACGAACTATTTACTATTTGTTGTTGACCAGCGGGGATAACGGGGGTATGTGAGCTTTGCTCACTTCTTTCTTGTTTATCTCTTTTCTTCTGTATATGTTTCTTTCTATTTCCTTATTGGACAAGTAATCCTTTGTCATCTTGTGACACATGTAAATAATGTCTGTAAATATGAAGAAGGGTGTCTAAGTTCGACAACATGTTCCTAATCCTTTTCAATTTGTGAATGAAATATGTTTAAACTAAACTGTTAAGGCATTACAGCGTTCTGTTGAGGTCAGGCATTCATTGAGGCGACAGAGAAAGCAGTTGTTTCTCTCAACATCACAGTCGTCTATTGTTGAGATCTCCAAGAATACTATGAATTCCTGGTTAAGAATTCCTAGTCTGGAGGCTATATGAACATACTGGTCTACAGCCTTAGAATAAGGGCATTGACTTCTATGTTGGCTCTACACACTAACTGTTCGGTAAGAGGGTTGCTTCTAGGCTATACTGACACTACCTTCGACAACCAGTGATGTCGAGGACATCCATGGTTCAATCCTCGAAGGAGATGATGGGTACATTGTTACCATCTCTCACTGCACTCATTTTATACCTTTCATTGCTTGCCAGAGCGAGTTGATGGAGTTATTTACTGTGTTAGGGCTGTGGTGTATACTTGGTAACGAACTGTAGTCTCATTGTAGTGCCTACCATTTGTTACTGGGTACATCATTACTCCCAAGTGAATAGGGGTTTAGATGGAGACTAGTGAAGAGCGACTTACATTCGGACCTAGGATGAACATAGTCCAGTCCATAACATATGGACGTAACCACTTGGGCTTGGGTATGCATTTGACAATCCCCGCCGTCTGCTGTGAGATAATTGCAAACGGTCTAAGCAGGATAAGGAATTATTTACAGTTTTCTTATATTAATGATATTAAATACCTATCCTGCTAATATCCGTCTAACCATCCCTGCTTCTGTGGGCCTGCTTTGTGAAGTGCTCGAAGTAGGAAGAGGAAGTGGCATGGCATGAGCTGGCAGTGGTGACCACGAGTAAGGGAGTGTTTTGGCACTGTGTTATGGGATTCTTAAACAAGTGGAAATTGCAAATGGTCTCTAATCTGAATAATGCTTACAGGATATCTCCATCTTTAATTTTTTGTGTCTCATTGAAGTGGTTCAAGTATTATGGTGAAAGTTTGGGTACATAAAGCAAACATGCAGATAAAAACTGATCTTCACTGGTCTCTGAAATTGACCTTTAAACCAACGGAAAATATGAGGCTCAACCGATGCCACATAACTGATCATTCCCATTCTAACAAAAGAAGAAGAATTAAGATAAACCTTGTGTCTTTTCAACCTATTGCATTCTGTTTCGAATAAAATTACAGGTGTCAAATCTATGTTAAATACCTCTACATTGAAAACCCACTAGGTTCACCTTATAAATGAAGTTTGATACTTGTTCCTTATTTGTCAATCTTCTATTAAACAAAAACTATTTGATTGTTTTGTTTGTTAACATCACACTCAGTTATTTGACGGTAGCCAAAATGTTCTGAGAAATGACAAAATGAAAATCAATTCATGCCAAGACAAAATACAAGTTTAGAAAATCCTTCCCTTCAAAGTATATATCACTGAAAAAAGGTGAAGTTCTGTACCTCTAGGGGGATCTGGTACTTTGGTTCTTCAGGTTTATCTAAATACTTACAATAAAGTCCATCTTATTGGACTGATAAAGTGAGGTGAATTACAGAGCCTGTGTTTTTTGTGGATTAATTGACAAAATTCTTGTTTCTTCATTTTCAGGTTGTAGACACAGAATTCTATGTGTTTGTGGCATCACCAAGTAATAACAAACGTATCATCGACAAGGTGGAAATTAATGTGTTAACAATTGGATACCAATTCTATAAAATGGATCACTTCAATGGTAACATCTGGAGGTTTGCAGCAAGTTTACCATCCAATGTGGAAACAGTTTCTTACATGTATCAAGTATGTTATTTGGGAAAAGGTCGTTTTTGGAACTCCCATGAATCAACTTCTGGACTAATTAAGTTTTGCAAACGTGGAACTGTTAACCGTGACTTTTTTGATCTGTGTGATATTTCAAAAGGGTACATTGAACACGTTGCTGCCATCATTCTGCGATGCACCTCTCAGGGGTTGAAGGATTCAATCATAGAAGTTGATAACCTTTCTGACTTCCTTCATAAATGCTCTTTTTGTGTGCATTTGAAAGACATTCTTGAAGAGTTAAAAGAATACATTGACAGGAATGAGAACAATGTTTCAAGAGATGCATATGCTGTCTTATCATATATGTTTGGAAAGTTGATAGTTCTATTCAGCATTTCAAACAGAACAAAACATTTGAATACTAAAATATGTATGGAAATTCTTCACAGTTTCCAGGCAATGATGCCTGAGTCAGTTCCGGAAAATTCACTTGGTGTATTTGCAAAGGTTGCAGAATACATCATACACATTACTTCCCCTGAAGAGAAGTGTAAGGTGTTGAAACTCCTAGAATTTGCCTTCCCATTCTTGCCTACAAAGATCTTTATCAGACAAGTTAGTGAATGTATTAAGAACTTACGATCTAAGAGTTTGTGTGAAGATGTTGATTATTTGTCACAAATCATCAGAAAAATATCAGGAAATCTTTGCAGAGATAGAGAAGGTTGCCGTGAACTCTTGCTGAAAATTCTCACACACTCAACAGTACAACAGGTGAAGAAGTTGAAGGATGAATGTGCCACATGTCTTTCAAAAGAAGAAATAGAAGACTTGTTTGAAATGAAGGTCATGCAAGAGATGAAATATGCAGGAAAACAAAGGCATTTTGTGCAATTACTTGATCTGTATGTCATTATAGGGGAATCCTCAATGACAGATTCCATACATGGCCAGCTAAAAAGGACATGCTTAACTATGATAACAGATTCACAAATCAAAGATGATTTGGATGTGGAGGCAGCAATGAAGTTGGTCACATTCCAAGACTTGTTCAGTCAAACAAAAGATCGTACAGAAGTATTGAAATGCTTGGCTGGCTGTAAGAATGTTAAGCTACATCAACTGTTCATAAATCTGCTCAGAATACAGTATTTGGACAAAGACAGTACCACAGATGTCATTGCAAAGTGGGCCAAATGTTGGTTGGACACAGCTATTAGTAATCTGGGTGTGAAAAGATCCTATGGGTGCAAAGTAGATGACCTTGAAGAAGTTTACTTGAAGCTAGAATTGGCCTTGTCACTACCACAGATTGCTGAAATGGAAGATTTAACAAAGTCCCTTAAAAACAAAACATTTGATTTTCTCCAACAAATAAGTGTTCATGATTTGCTAGACAAGTTGAGCAAGGTAGACGTGTTGCAAAATTCAACTGTTTTACCAGTTTTTCAAGAGCATCTGCAAGGACACCTTTTCAAAGGAAACAACAGGTCACATAGGTCTGGAATTCTATCTGATATCACAAATAAGTCCACTAAAGATGGCAAGGTGTACGTCTGTAGAAGGTAAGATTGTCTATAATCATTTGATCAACTAGTTATAGACCAGTATAGATCTGTCTGCCCTACCTTCCTTCTGTCAGCACCATTTTGTCTGGAACTGGACTGATCCTAACTGGTACCATGCACCATTAATTTATTAACTCAAGTTTGACTGTTGCAATTGTTTTTCTCAACCATATTTGCAACAGATATTCAGACTTCATATCTGATATACCTCCTATGTAACCCTGGTTAATTTTTCTGACATATAATTTAAAGAAAAATAATGGTCTATGTCAAGCCTTCAAAAAAGCTGATATGATGTCCTGAGTATTTATGGAGTGCCATCATGGATGCTTTAACATCACAGGAATGTTTAACTGTAGCAATAGTACAACAGCCTTACTTATGTTGACACCCCATCAAAATTGTTAGTATTTGTGATTTCATTCACCTTATCAGGAACTCTTATTTCCTTGATGACTTTTTGTTGTTTGCCCATCATTAATTTTTGCATCTTCCACCTGAAACTTTGGATGAATTATCCCACCTATGGTGTCTCTGAAATTATTCACAGGATTCTGATCGAATTGTGAAACATGGTTGTCAGTTTGGGCCATAACACAGCCATTTCTGCATGTATCATGAAATTTCATACACAGCAAATTTGTGGTATGTGGAGAAACATTTGATACAATTTGGCATAGTTTGATTCCAGCTGGGTTGTCATAAAAAAAATGCACACATTGCAAATATTTCTCCGTTATTCAGGTGACCTTATAAGGGACTATTTTCATTGTTTGATGGGACTTAGGAAGACCTCAAAAGTAGAAAATCTAGAAAATTTACAAACATCACTGGTTTGCATATGCAACCAGACATCAGATCATGTCACTGAATTCACTGCATCAACTCTGATCCCATATTTGACTCAAGAGGATTCTGCCATAATGCTATTATATCTACAGAGAACAAGGATTTTTTCAAGCATCTTGCATGTTACACCTGCTAAGCAGTGTAGGGTTGCTTACAATCTTTCTAAATGTGGTGGAATCTGTCCAATTCAGACTTGTTTGGGACCAGTTAAAAAGTCTGGTTTAAGACACAAAACGAAAAGAATTGATCATTCATATTTATTCGCATACACATGTATTTGTTAATGAAATATAGACATGGGCTGGCATTAAATACACATTGAAACACTCTTTACTTGAAAAAGTCATTGAGAACAAAATCGTGTCCACAGTCATAGTTTCGAGGTGAAGGAATTGGTCCAATAAAAAAAAGAAGTCTCATCACAGCTGAAGACATCAGATGGGTCATAACCGGCTGGACTAGTACCTGTGAATGTCATTGTCAACACTAGCGTTCTCACCACTCACACTTGATTTGGTAGTGTTGCTTCCAAGGAGTAAGCCAGTCATTTGATGCCTTGAAATTGTCAATATTCAGCTGACGCAAATTTGTAAGCCTTCTCTTTTAATGTGAGACCAGATAGGGGTAGATTTTTATTCTGAACACAGAGGATACCACTCATACATGCTGCTGATAGCATCAATCTTTCCTTGAGCTTGTCTCTTCTTGTCAGGATTTAATGTCCTTCAACCTGCTGCTGATAGTCTTCAATATGTTTAAGAATATCTGAGAAAGTCTGCTTACTGATCACATATTTCTCAGCTAAATCTTTCTGCTTCAGTTGTGGGACAATTAAAGCAACTTTCTTAGCAAGTGTAAGTTTGATATGCCTTTTCTTTGATGGTCGCTCAGCCATTGCGATTGATAATGACAAGCTGTGTTTACCATTATTTATTAACACACTCACGACAGTGACTTGATCTAATTAAGCTGAGTCTATCATTAACAGGTGTGTAAATTCTAATTAACTTAGCAGACATCAAAGTGTTAAGATCAATAGGATGCAGGAGTAGGATTGTTGTTTTAGATGACAATGTTTGTTTGGTTGTTTTATGTCTCACTCAGCAATATGCCACCTAAATGATGGCAGTCTGTTGATAATGAAGTCTGAACCAGACAATCCAGTGATTGACATCATGAGCATCAATCCAAGCAATTGGGATACGATGACATGCATCAACCAAGTCAGTGAGTCTGATCACCCGATCCCGTTGGTCGCCTCTAACGACAGGCATAGTCGCCTTTTACGGTAAGCATGGGTTGCTGAAGACCTTTTCTACCCCGGATCTTCACAGATCTAGATGACAATGACTGATCTTATTTTAAATTGAGAGAACATTCGAATAGCTTCTTTTCAATCGTAAATTGATTGTTGGGAACGTAATTTTAGTCTGAAGTCCAAAGTGTACAAGTCTGAATTTGTGTACATTTATAAGTGCTTTGAAGTAAATACAATTTTACATAAATTTTCAGCATTATTCAAGATAGTTCCCCCAAATATACTCCTGTTTATTCATTTCAGGTTACATGCAAGAATCATTGTTTTGGGTGTAAACTACTCAGGTCTTGCGGAAGATTTAGATGACATTGATGCCTTGATATTGATGCTCCAGAACTGGCAGTTTTGGAGTTTGGTATTCAACATTGAAGGTGAATTCCAGAAAGACATCATGCAAAATCCACTTGCACAGAAAGCCAAGAAAATAGCAAGAGTTTTCAAGTCAAAGCTGGAAAATAAAACCCTGTTGCTAAAATTCATGAAGAAACTTATTGATGCAAAGAACAAGAACATTGATGGATTTTGTAAAATATTAGTTGCTTCAAGTTCAAATACTGACTATGAAACAATGAAAGGTGAACTAACTAAGCACATAGAAGCAATTACTGTTGCTGAAAGGGATCAACAATTGTTGACTAAAGTGCTAAAAAAGATCAGTTCTTTCGATGGCATTCATGTCCCAGATGCAAATCTTGCTCAGGATATCCTCAAGATGAAAGTATTAGAATTTCAACAAGGTGATGTACCAATGCAAAGTATTTTCGATCAAACACATTGGGAGCCATTTACAAGTTTCCTTACATGCTCAGAAACAGTGGCAACAGTAGTTCAGTCTGGCATCTATTGGCAAGTATGCATGGAATCAACAAAGGAATGGCTTTCAAAGATGGATGTTAATGAAATTGACACAGCTGCAGATCCAGTGGAGGACATTTGTTGTCTTTTTGGAAACACAAGAGTTTCAGAAATACCTGAAGTAACACTAAGAATATGTGGTGAACTTGTTAAAGATGGACTAAGTAAATACAAGAAGATCTGGGGTCCTTTATTCAAGGAAGAGGATGCAAATTTAGGTTGTCTACAAATTATTGTAGACACAAAAGATATGAAAGAAGAAATCAGAATTGCAGAAAGAATTTTCAAAGCTGACTTTCCTGAATGGATAGTGCATGCATTTGAAATAATCCGAGCCTACTCACAGTATGACAAGAAGTTGAAAGTAATCAGCAAAGTAGTATCAGTTCTTCAACATAATGCTGTAGAAGATGAGTCTTTTACTGAAACAGTACATGCATTTTCAGCACTCAGAGATGAGAATTTTGATCATATTTCCCTATTTAAGCTACGTCACATAAGAAAGCTGTTGGATGAAATTGAAAAATTAGTTACAGATGACCTCCAGCATGTTCTCAACGAACTGTCAACATCAAAACATCTGATAGACTTCTTAAAGGACAAACCCATGGATGATTTACGTAATCTTATTGATGCCGTTGAGGAACACTCAGAGCAGTCAATTCAAGAGTCGACAGTATCAGCATTGATAGCTGTGAAACGATTCCTCAGTCCCTTGATGCATTCAGGATCAGAAAAGACAGTACTTCAAGTACTTACAGTGCTGAGTAAATCCGTAAATGATTCTCAGGTTGAAAAGCTAGCAGAAAAGATAAGTGTTTGTAAGACGCATTTGCATGGCCTTAAGGCTCTGTTCAATAATGTTGCCAATAGAGGAGAAATGACAAAAGATGTTGTGAAAAACACATTGAAGAAAGGTGCAAAATTCTCATTCATGTCAGATGAAAAGGGATGCAGTGTACGATTAGCATACAAAAGTCATGGTGTTCATACAACACATACCAGAACAGATTTGAATGATCTAAGAAGCAGGGTATTACTGATGGTGAATACTGAAGCAAATAGAAAAACTCCTGGACATCAGAAGGACAAAGTTCAAATGGAATATGAATCATTCATTATGAAAGTGGATGAGGCCATCGATATTGGTAACATATTGGACAGATTGCGTCAATCAGGTTATCCAGATTGCAAAAGTTTGTTGAAAGGGACACTTGACATCAGTCATCTTGAGGCCCACCGTGAGCATCTTGAAACCACCTGGACCATCTGGCAGAGTGCCTTATCTAATTGCAGACAAACTCATTACTGGTTAAATTTTTTCTATCCTGAACAATTAAGAACAATTCACTTGTTCTTGGAGGAAGGGACTGATGAAACTACGACAAGGAATTTGCTTGGATATACTGGTTGCAAAGTTGAAAAGCTAAATTCTGCCAGAATGACCTATCAGACGGTGTCTTCTGTAGATATGAAAGATACACAAGATAATTTTGGTTTAAAGACAGTTGGGATAACCTTAGATAGAGTACTATCAGAGCTGACTTGTCAGAAAATGGCATTTCCAAAAGACACATCTGCACCAAAACAGCCTGTCCGTATAGCTGATGCTGTTCAGCCAGGAAATATCTTTGTTGCTAGTTTAGATGAAAACAGCAGCATGGTCATTCCAACAGTGCTTGCACTATATCAAAACACTACAGGACTCCTTCCTCTCCCTCATCAACTTCTCTTTTGTCTGGAAGATACACATTGGGGAGATATTGAACTTCTATTAAACAGGTGCCATGGATCCCAAAACCTAACATACCCACAGCTGTTTGTAATCGTGTCTGTTGAAAAATTATCCAATGATGTCCAATTTCAGCTTGTTGAGTGTTTGAAAAGGCTAGCGTACAGCAATGTTTTAATGGCAGTGGTTTGTGAAGGGTCTCATCACCCATTTTTGGATCATTTTGGAGAGAGAGTGAATCAGGTTCAACCATTGTCTGAATCATCAATGGAAACATGTCTTCAGAATTTGTTTCCAAATGTAATTACTGTTACTTCAGATCTTCCTGGCCAAGGCAAATCAGAAACAATACAGGAACTAGCTCACACAGAGAATCTGGACGTCTGTACTTTACACCTCAGTGGGGATGTTACACCACCAGAAATGATCAGAAAGTTAAGATGTCTTGATTTGTCACCATTCCATGTTCTCCACATTGATATTGGTTTGATTTCAAGCCCATTTGACTTAGAAAAGCTGCTTTTTCAGCTCATTGTTCTGAAGACGATTTCTCATAAATCTGACTTGTTCACTTTGGTGACAAATCATGTTTACATCGAAATTGCAAATACAATTGATAGTGTTTTGAGAAATTCACTTCAGACAGTCACATTTTTTAAACGGGAACATGTGAGATGGCAAAACTATGACAATTTCTGTGTTAGTCAAGAAATTTGTAGTCCAGTTCAAGTTGTTTGTAATTTCCTGAATGTGTATGATAAAGGAGAAATGGACATTGTTGATTTGTACTTCAGTGGTGAAAAACAGTGTAAACCACTGAAAGAACAACGTTGCCAAGAACTGTTGAGATACTATTTCTCATATGACACGGATCTGTCTTTTACAATTGTTCAAGTTTTCTTAAATCTATTGGCAGATCAGTTAAAGAAATTTTCCTGTAGTCATTACTTTCGGACACAGACTGTAGCAGGAATGCTTGGAACAAGTCAGGTAAATGATGTGAAAACCCAGGTATTGAAAGCTTTGCTTGAAATGTCCAAGGAATTTGCTGCAAGATCAGTGCAATCTAGCAGACAAAATATTAGTAGTGACCATGTCAGTGACAAGCAGCAAATAGCAAAAACATTGGCAACAGCACATGCAATGACACAGCGCGTAGACAGTATGATTCAGTGGTCACAAAGCAATCACTTGATTGTTGCCTTTCATAATCAAGATATCCATACTCTTACAGCTCTCTACAGGTCAAAACAGATGGTGGAAGTTAGTGTCAGGAAGTTATTTGAAACTCAAATAGGAAGGAAAATGCCAGAGTTTTCCGATTTGCATCAAACTGAACTGCAAAAGATATTGCAGCATGTTGCTCGCTTCAAACAAGAGTTAATTCCACAAGAGGAGTTAAAGAAAATAGATGAAATGTATGCTTTGACTCCAGATAATCTTTTGAAGATGGTATTGATTGTCCTTCGAGTGCGTGCACATATCCCAGTGATACTCATGGGTGATACAGGATGTGGCAAAACAAGTCTCATTCATTATCTGTCCAAAATTTGTGGTGTGGTTTTCAGAGTGCAAAACATCCATGCTGGTGTTGAAGAGTCTGATTTAGTTGATTTTGTGCTGGCAAATAATGCTTTTGCTTTGTCAAACATGAATGAACATGTATGGGTGTTTCTTGATGAAATCAACACATGCAATCATCTTGGATTGATTAATGATATCATATGTCATCACTGCTGTCAAGGACGAATGTTGGCACCCAATCTTATAGCAATGGCAGCCTGCAATCCTTACAAACTGAGAACTGAAGAGAGTATTTTCACTGCCGGTTTGGATAACAAAGTGGTGCCTGATGAGCAGTCAAAGCTTGTGTACAGAGTGAATCCACTGCCAGAGAGTATGGTTGACTACATTTGGGATTATGGAAGCCTCAGCAAAACTGATGAAGAATCATACATTAGAAGGATGATTTATGATGCTGTTTCAAAACACCTTGTATCTTGTCTTGTTGAACTTCTGACAATGTCACAAGAATTCATTAGAAAAAAGGAACAATCAAGTTCCTGTGTGAGCCTACGTGATGTTAACAGATGTAGAATTCTGATAAAGTGGTTTCAAGAAACACTAAAAATGAAAATTGAACTTCTGAATAAATGTTTGACTCAAAACCGACAGAAATTTGAAATAAAGGCAGTTATTTTGGCTTTGGCACATGTATATCACTCAAGACTGCCTGATACCTCAAGTAGGAAGGAGTACAGGGAGAACATGTCAAGAGTGTTTGAGAGACATGGAGACAGTGAGAGTGAAACAGACATATTCAAGATAATACATGAAGAACAAAGAGATATTATACGGAGAATGGAATTGCCGGATGGCATAGCAAAGAACACAGCTCTTCAGGAAAATGTGTTTGTTATCATGATAAGCATTCTCAATAGAATTCCAATTTTTGTTGTTGGAAAACCAGGCTGTAGCAAGTCATTATCATTGCAATTGATAAAGAGCAATTTACGAGGCCATGATTCAACTGATCCATATTTTCAGAAGTTACCTCAGTTGTACTGTGTGGCTTTTCAAGGATCAGAATCATCTACTTCAGATGGCATCATCAAAGTCTTTGAGAAAGCAGAACGTTACAGGGAGTCAACTAAGGAAGAAAATGTCCTACCTGTGGTTATATTAGATGAAATTGGTTTGGCAGAAACATCAAAATTTAACCCTTTGAAAGTTCTTCACAGTCGGCTAGAACCTTGACATGGGGAAGTCCCGAATGTTGCAGTTGTTGGGATATCCAACTGGGCACTTGATGCAGCAAAGATGAATAGAGCTATCCATCTATCTAGGCCGGATATGGATGCAGATGAACTCGTTCAGACGGGATTGTCTATTAGTGAAGCAACTCTTGAAGATGGTGACGAAGAAGGGAGTCTATTACATCTGAATGATAACAACAGCAGCAATCAAATAGATGAAGCACTGATAAGAGCAATAGCTGAGGCCTATTCCAAATATGTCAATGACCAGCGTTTCAAAAACTTTCATGGTCTTCGAGACTTCTACTCTCTTGTGAAGTATGTGTCTCGAAAATTCAAGTCAATGACAGTAGAACACTTTGAAGATGACCAACGTAAAGTTGATCTGGTTGTGAGAGGCTTACTCCGCAACTTTGGAGGTCTTTCATCGGAAGTTAATTCTGTTATATCTGTGTTCAAAGAGCATCTAGGTGTGATACTAACTGATGGCACTGTTTCTGATGAACTTGTGTTACCCTCCACCCTTGAGCTGGTACAGGAAAACATTGAAGACAGATCAGCACGTCACTTACTTCTGGTGACAAGAGGGGAGTCAGCTCTGAGCATTGTTGAAGATTTACTCAGGCAAAATGAACGTCAGACTGTCACAATTTTAGGAAGCCATTTTGATGAAGATCTCAATGATGACTACAGCTATCGCATTCTTAGCAAAATAATACTTTGCATGGAACAGGGAGTTGTTTTGATATTGAAAGACCTTGATAGCATTTATGGGAGCTTGTATGACATGTTGAACCAAAACTACTCAAAAGTTGGCATAAAGAAAACATGCAGAGTAGCGCATGGAGCCTATAGTAACCCAGTGTGTCATGTTCATGATGATTTCCGGTGCATTGTTTTGGTTGAGGAAAACAAACTTGACTTGTCAGATCCACCATTTCTGAACAGATTTGAAAAACAGTGTATCCGACTTTCAGATATGTTGACAGCTAGTGAGAAAAAAATTGCTGAAGAATTGGAGGCATGGATGATTAGTGTCTCAAAGATTCCAGGGCATAAATTCAGAAGAAATGATATGATACCTTTTGATAACCCTGACTTGATTGCATCTTTGGTCCATTATTATTTTTCTCATTGCAATACAAACATTGAACATGAAAGCTTAGTTGAGAATTGTAAGATGTTTCTGATAAAAACATGCACACCAGAGGGGATAGTTCGCCTTCAACTAAGTGAAAGGCATAGTGAAGAACCCTTAGAAGTAAAGAAATGGCAGAACTATTACTACAAGTTGCCTATACATGGGGGACTTCAGAAATTTGTTGACTATGCTCTTACTGATTCTGAAACAACCATACAGAAGGGCAAGGAAATGATTTTCAGTCACACCAATATTCATACCAATATTCAGTCATGTCTGGATGTGTCTTCTGAAGAGTGCCAAGTTGAGAAATTGAGCTCATTCAAGTCTGAGAAACAGTTGTCATCCAGGCTTCATGCATTTTGGTGTCTCCCTGGAAAGAAATTTCTTATTATTCAATGCTTAACAAGCTATGATCAAGACAACATTCTTTTGATGAAATCACTAATTGAGAAAGAACAGGGTGAATACAAATCTGAGAATGAACCAGGTCAAGAGAAATATGTGTTTATTATCCTTCATATGGACAGAAATGATTCTGATGAATCATTTAATCTTTTGAATTACCTAAGTGGATGGAATTTGACAGTTGTTGATACTCTTGAGCCCAAGAAAATTTCCTTGACTGACTTTCTAGTTAAACAAAAACTGGAAATTGTCCATGAACTGAAGCAAATGGTACCATTAGCTCACTATCTCTTTTGGTCATTCACCTTGATAAAATACCACAGCTATGCCAGGAGTTTGACAAGTCTTAAAAGCCTGGTTGAAAACATTTCTACCAATTCACATCTCATGGCATTCATAGAGGGAGAAGTGTTTTCTATTCTTGAAACACAATTGAACAAGTCTGAATTAAAGAACTGGCAGATCAATGTGGCATGTGATCAGTTGAAACTTTACACCTGTCTTACATTACATGTAGCACTTGAGAATGACATGATGGAATGTATGAAATATCCTCTGGCTGCAATGGTCTATAAACTTGAGGCAGCAAATACTTGGGATTGTGTTGTTGGACAAGTGGAGTTTCAACAAAAGACTGAATGCTGGAGGCAGCTTGCTAAAACTTCATCAGTTTTAGACATTAGTGATGTGCCTCACCCACAAGGACCAGAGTCTTACCCAATTATGGATCCAGCTTTGTTTCTTTTGTGTCCTTTTAGCAAAATGTTCATTGAAAGAATTGAAAGCCTAAGAGGATTGTGCACAGAAACTATTGCAATGGAATACCCAGGCATGGAAATCGATGAGATTGAAGAAAATCTCACAAATGAATTCAGTAGCAGACTTCAAGACCAAGTTTATGACATGGCAAGTGAATTGTTTGAATATTCATATGGAGAACAACATTTCAGTGATTATCTCCATGACTTTGTAAGCATAATGTATTCAAATGTCAACATTGGTATGGAGGAAAGTCTAAAAGTCAAGGTTGTAGAATGGTCATTTTTAATGAGATTTCAAATAGAAGGATTACCATTTGAAGCTGCAGTGACAAGACTGCATGTTACAAATTGGCTTCATTTTGACAAAATAGAAGCAGAATTGAGACTTGTAGATGCTTGTTTAAGTATTAGTAAAGTGAGTTTGGATGACATCCTTGGAAGTTCAAAGCCAGTGCACATGTTGTGCTTTAGTTCAACTGCAGATGAACATTCATCACCAGAAACCCAAGTTCACATGACTGACACAAAAGGGAAATCAATTGGTGACTTGAAAGTCATAGAAGCCATAGACATGGATATGAAAGGTCAAGTTGGTACATATCAAGACATTAAAGAAGATCAGGATGTTGAAGACATTGGAAACGTAATGATCACTGAAAGTTGCTCTACAAATGTCAAACCACAGTTTGATGCTGTCAGTACTGAACAGCATCATACTGTTTCACATGAAACACAGGAATTTGAACTGGACGCCAGTACCAATTTGGTTACATTTGCTTGTCAGAAACTAATTCCTACAGAAAATCTGCTTGAGAACTCTACTTTTCAGTCATGGGTAAACGGAGTCAGCCTTGTTTTGTCTTTGGCAAGTGAAGTGTCATTAGAATCCAAAGTATTTCAGTCATTACGGTTGTGTAATGAATTTGCATTGCTTGTGTCAGTTCCACACAACACGGACAGAAGATATCTCTCTGAGATAGGGCATGCACTTGAATCAAACCAGGTTGAAAGTGATGTCATATTCAAAAAAATTCTTCAGATCATAAACAAAGTGAATGAAGAGAAGTTAGTTCCTGAAGAAGCACTACAACATTTCTTTGCTTGTTACATAAGCATATGTCTTGCTGCTGATCCGGAAACATCAGTAGTAGCTTTGGGACTTGAGGTACTTAAAGATTTGACAATTTTTCAAAGCAGCTTAAACTATTTTGGTCCAACACTTTGTCAGATTTTGATGATAGAAATGGAAGAATGTGATTTGATAAATGATGACCTTCTTGAATACCCTGTTCTAAGAAATCTAGACAATTGCATTCTAGCATTCCAAGAGAAAGGTGAACCAGACTCACAGTTAGCATGTCTTTGCATAGATGTCATTGAGACACATTTTACGCAAGAGATATTGGACTTTGATGATGAAAACCTAGATACCATGTTAATGTGTGATGAAATTTACAGATCTGAGGGGTTTTCACTGAAACACCTTATATCTTTGGCATATTTGAAAACCTGTCTATCAATTTTAGCATCTGATATGAGACAGAAAGACACTGTTGAAATACATATATTACAAAAGGTGAATGGCATCCTACAGTTGGATTCAGATACCAGTGGATCAACCAGAGATATCAGAACTAAAGCCTTGCAGAACTATTTTGTCAAGGTACTTTCACAAAATGATGGGTTGAAAACATTTGAGGATATTCTGAGTCATCATTCACAACATTTGCCATTCACAAAAGAAGTGAAAATAGCAGATGAAGATAGACTGGTAGCACTTGAACTATGCCCAATGCAGATGACATGGTCTGATATCTATTTTTCTGTTTCTGATGGTTATTATGCATTACCTAAGGACAACAGCAAAGTGAAAAGTGTATTTAAAGCTGCCAGAACAAACCCTCAGTTCACCTACTGTGTGTTTGGTGTTGCCCTCCAACAAATCTACCTTGTAAAGACTATCAACCCTCTGACAGACAGTGAAAGAACAGAAAGAGCAAAGATGTTCTGTGACTTATCAAAAGGAGACATTCATAAGAACCAACTAAAAATGCTGGAGTCGTTATGCACATGTGATGAATTTAAGTTCCCACTACTGCAGATGGGTGGCCAAAAATCAGTCAGAGACCAACATCTTGCAATCTGGATTCTTCACCTAACATGCTCAGTGCTTGCCTTCAATCCCACTGAAAACCAAATAAGCAGCACTGCTCCTTTGTGGTTAAGACTTATTATGAATCCAGATCAAATAACAACATTGTACATGCCAGGAGCAGGATATGATGAGAACAGTTTGCATATGAGCAAATTTGCATGTATGAAAGCCAAATTGAAAGAATGTCATTTTATAAGGTGTAAGTGTGGGATGACCACTGTTCTTACCAATGAAGAAGCCTCAGTCTGCCATGGGTGCCAGGAGAGTTTTGAATCCAGTAAGGAAAGCGTGGAGCTGTCAGGCATTTCTCAGATGTCCACAAGAAAGCAGGGATACATCTACACTGATAGCAGTCATATGGGAAATGTGTTTCTATCTGTAGGCACCTTGTCACCTGCTGCATTTCGACTTTTACAGATTGCTATTCATGGGTGCCTTGCTGTGTCACAAGCTCTTGGCTTCATTACCACTTCTGATCTCTCTGTGATAATGAAAATCCCTGAGGAGGTAGATGTAGTGCATTACATCAACAAGCATTTACAATGTCACTGGGATGCTCTCTCTGTTATGGCAGAAATGGGACATGCACAACTTGGTAAGCTTTTGAACTTCACAGTGAAAGAAGGGATGTCATCTTGGGTTCATGATACATCTCAATTTTGTGTCCCCGAAGAAAGAGACAGTTTTGAAGATAGCTTCAGTGATTATTTCAATGAAATTATGGTCAGGAGGTTTGGCATTATAAAGGAAGAGGTAATATGTTTCCAAAAGAACAACCCACATAGCTCTGCTTCATCCTGGGAAATGATATTTGCTGAGGCTTCTGATGAAGACAATATGTGTGAAAGATTGCCGAGGTTGATGAGGGAAAATATGGCCCCCAGTATGGAAAATATGGAAAAGGAATATGTCATTCAGCAGAAAACTGACAAGTTTCCAATTATGGCTTTAGTATTTGAAAAGAAGAAAGCACTGTCATTGCTAAGACATCTCATTCCACTTATACAGTGGCACATGTGTACTATTCGGCACTCAAGTAATAACTCAAGAGTAGTGGAATGCAAAACTGTTGAGGACTTTATCCTTACTTGTCAAAAAGAAGTAGCAGCTTGTGAGAAGTCAGATTTGATGAAAACATTTGAGACCTTCAAGCAATCTTGGAATCAACTGAGAGAAGAGATTGTCTTATTGAAACACTATAATGAATTCATATCAGACATACCTAGGGTGCACATAAGAGGTCCTCTTGAAACATGCATAATGAAAAGTTCCTCTGCACCAGTTATGCAAGTGTTGAAGGCTTTGCAGTCTATTCAGAACCAGTTTTTAACAGACTCTGTTATAGTTACTTTATCACTGAACAACTTGTCAACCAGTTTTCTGAAACTAAATGATGGGATTGCAACTCTGCATGGAACAGCTATTGAAAATGTTGCACCAAGACATGTTGTTACCCTGCCAGATTTACGTGACATGCCAAAGTTTTCTCAGATAAACACAGAATTAGGGCATGGTAGAGAAAGACAATATGATATGTATCAAATTGAACTTCAAGTTGTGGCAGAATGCCTGGTGAATAAGCCATTATTATTAATAGGACCTAAATTTCCTATGATCCGTTTTTATGGCGAAATATTACACAGGACTGACCAGCTTCTGGAAGATATCATCAACATTGTTGGCCATGAAGATATTGACAAAGATATCATTAAGTCTGTCATTTCACTGAAAGAGAAGAATCCATCAAATATGCAAACACTGACTGACTACTTAGAAATGACCTTCACTCTTCTCAAAAGAGCACCACTTTCTGGTCGCCAGAAACAGCAAACCCTAAATGACTTTCTGATGGCTTGGCAATCTTTCTTCCCAAATAGAGTTGCTGACATAGATGCCTTTTGTAAAAGAATCCGTTTGACTCAGTTGATATCTCTCTATGAATATGTTGAAGACCTAGTGGCTGAAGTAATCATTGACCGTTTAGAAGACACATATCGAGTCCAAATGCCTGAAGAATGTCAATCACACATGAACACTGTTCTCGGCATCATGAATTTGAAGTTGCAAGAAGCCCTTCTGTCAGCTTTGAAGAAGACTGTCATCAGGTATATCCGATTTCAGTATGCAAAATCAACTGATCCCTTGTCACCATTACTTATGGAAAACACCATGTGGCCAGAGGGTGTTTTAGCAGATGTAACATCCAAAACTGACAACCTGGACGCTGGACTGCTTCATCCCTGCCTTTGTGTGGAGAATATCTGTGATGCCATTGACTTCACAACACAGGCTGTTGAGGTATGTTGAGTTAAGAATAATCTATTTATGTATATATTGAATTGTGAGCTAAATTGGCCAAGAGACTATTAAGATAAAGTTACAAGAATACACATAAGCAGATAAAAGTTACCTTCATGGTAAGTGGTTGGATTTTCTCAGCATTATATGAGGACAGTTTTTAAATTCAACACATCATGGCCAGAGAATAATCAGTCACTATTATCTGCAGAAACAGAATTCATTGATCAAAATGGTGATGAAAATTATATGAATGGAACACTGAAAATCAGTCATGACACCAGGGTGTTCGCAAAAAGCATTAGCGTGTTCTCTACCGATAGCACCCAACAATATTGTTGTCTAACGTCGCATCCAGTAGTATTCCAGCTATATGACAGCGACCTATAAACAATTGAGTTTGGACCAGACATTTTTAAGCCATTTTTGGTTGCAAATTTGGTGACAAGTGAAATTGAGCAATGCTCGTTCAATCATTATCTCTGGTAACCCACATCCATTTTGTTTTGGTACAAGCAGATTTATAGACTTTTTGTGTATTATTAATATGCTGTAGGAACGTTTTACGTCACTCTTGATCAAATGAATAAGTTTATTTTTTCAGGAACTAAAGATGAAGGATGGCAGAAACAGTTCCCAATATGCAGTAATAAGCCAAAAGAAGTCAGGAACTGTACAACAGAGGAAGAAGAATTTGGCAAAGAAATTTAGAAAGCGCTAATATATTTTGTAAGTAAAATGGGAGCTCCATAATATTTCTGAAACATATTTCATTTCTAAATGCCAGGTGAGGATTAATTGGCTATAGACAGATATACTTTCTTTACTTTGCTGTTCTTCACAAGGACAGTGATTCATTACTTTTGATGATCTGTCTTTCAGGTGTCAGGTTGCTATGGGACATGAACCAGTATCTTTCGACCAAGATAACTGACATAGGAACAGATTCAAACTTTCAAGTGTGAATGTCTTTCTCATAATATGTGATGTTTTGTAGAACTGTAAATATTCAGTGTGAATTTGTAAATGGGCACATATTGTTAAAAAACAATATGGCTTTGCATAACTTTATCATTTGCTTTTAATACATAGCTTTTGTGTATTGAATCTTGTATTGTTAGAATGTTCACCCAAAAGGATAGTATCAACTTGTGTTACTATGCCTATAAACATTTAAATATTACAAACCATTGAATAAGGTGAAAATATTTGTTGCCCTTATCTCATAAAACATATCCACAAAATAACTCATCTTTTCTTAGCATGCATTTTTTTGTTTTATTTGAACTACATCCCTGTATTATGGACTGTACACATGCAGACATGATGTAAGCTTTTGTACAATAACTCTCACTTATACATATTATTTTGTAAACATAGACTGATGGCAAGGACAATTCAATTTGTACAACAGACAGTGAAGGGACATTTGTTAAATTTATGCATTGAGACATGAGTACACGTAAATATGGACATGTGGATGGAATAAACTGTCATGTACATGTATATAGTGGAACAAACCAACTTTAATTAATACATCCAAAATATTTCTTGTATATTCATGCATCATTTTTGTGTGATTGAGTAACACAGAACTGTTAATATGTCGACATTGTAACAGCTGTTTATACAATTTGTGTTATTTATTTGGAGTTACTTGTAAATATGGACTGATAATTCAATATCTGTGATACATATCCCACAATCCAACACAAAAAACACCACAGTTAATAAGGTTCCGTTGGATATCTGTAAATAACATATAGGACTATTGATAGTGCTGGTAGTTTTGTACAGATACTTTAGAATTATGCTTTGAGATATCTGAGTACATGTTGTAAATATGGACGACATTTGAATGCTACAAACCATTGTGAATTAAGGGGCAATATATGTTTAATAACTCTCATTTGTACATATTTGCTTGTAAACATGGACTGATGTCAAAGCTATTTTAATCAGTCAACATTCAAGGAGCGTTTGTTAAGTTAATGCTTTGAGATGTCATGTAAATATGGTCTGACAACTCAATATCACCTACATTATTTATGTTTCCCAAAAAAGAATAATAAAACCGAACGTTAACCAGGTTCCCTGGGACATCTCTAAATAAAATATATCACTTCTGATGGTACTGGTAGTTTTGTACAGATAATGGCAAAGAATGATACTTTAGAATAATGCTTTGAGATATCTAAGTACATGTTGTAAATATGGACATTTGGATGGTATAAACTGTCATGAATATAGTGGAACAAACCAACTTTAATTAACACATCCAAAATATTTCTTGTATAATGATACATCATTTTTGTGTGATTGAGTTACACAGAACTGTTAGACATAATAACAGCTGTTTATACAATTTATCTTATGTATTTGGAATTACGTGTAAATAGGGACTGATAATTCAATATCTGCAATTTTACTTACATATCCCACAATCCAACCAAAAAACACCACCAAAAACACCACAGTGATAAGGTTCCTTGGGATATCTGTAAATAAAATATAGGACTATTGATAGTGCTGGTAGTTTTGTACAGATAATGGCAAAGAATGATACTTTAGAATAATGCTTTGAGATATCTGAGTACATGTTGTAAATATGGACATTTGGATGGTATAAACTGTCATGAATATAGTGGCAATATATGTTTAATAACTCTCATTTGTACATATTTGCTTGTAAACATGGACTGATGTCAAAGATATTTTAATCAGTCAACATTCAAGGAGCGTTTGTTAAATTAATGCTTTGAGATGTCATGTAAATATGGTCAGACAACTCAATATCACCTACATTATTTATGTTTCCCACAAAAGAATGATAAAACCCACAGTCCCTGTGACATCTGTAAAAAAGGTATATGACTTCTGATGGTACTGGTAGTTTTGTACAGACTAAAGCAAAGAATGAGGCTTTAGAATAATGCTTTGAGATTTCTAAGTACATGTTGTAAATATGGACATTTGGATGGTATAAACTGTCATGAATATAGTAGAACAAACCAACTTTAATAAACACATCCAAAATATTTCTTGTATAATTATGCATCATTTTTGTGTGATTGAGTAACACAGAACTGTTAATATGTAGACATAGTAACAGCTGTTTATACAATTTGTGTTATTTATTTGGAGTTACTTGTAAATATGGACTGATAATTCAATATCTCCGATATTACTTATGTATCCCACAATTCAACCACACAAAAAACGCCTGCAAAAAACACCACAGTTAAAAAGGTTCAGTGGGATATCTGTAAATAAAATATATGATTTCTGATGGCACTGGTAGTTTTGTACAGATAATGGCAAAGAATGATACTTTAGAATTATGCTTCGAGATATCTGAGTACATGTTGTAAATATGGACGACATTTGAATGCTACAAACCATTGTGAATTAAGTGACAATATATGTTTAATAACTCTCATTTGTACATATTTGCTTGTAAACATGGACTGATGTCAAAGATATTTTAATCAGTCAACATTCAAGGAGCGTTTGTTAAATTAATGCTTTGAGATGTCTTGTAAATATGGTCTGACAACTCAATACCACCTACATTATTTATGTTTCCCACAAAAGAATGATAAAACCCACAGTCCCTGTGACATCTGTAAAAAAGGTATATGACTTCTGATGGTACTGGTAGTTTTGTACAGACAAAAGCAAAGAATGAGGCTTTAGAATAATGCTTTGAGATATCTAAGTACATGTTGTAAATATGGACATTTGGATGGTATAAACTGTCATGAATATAGTAGAACAAACCAACTTTAATTAACACATCCAAAATATTTCTTGTATAATGATACATCATTTTTGTGCGATTGAGTTACACAGAACTGTTAGACATAATAACAGCTGTTTATACAATTTATCTTATGTATTTGGAATTACGTGTAAATATGGACTGATAATTCAATATCTGAAATTTTACTTACATATCCCACAATCCAACCAAAAAACACCACCAAAAACACCACAGTGATAAGGTTCCTTGGGATATCTGTAAATAAAATATAGGACTATTGATAGTGCTGGTAGTTTTGTACAGATAATGGCAAAGAATGATACTTTAGAATAATGCTTTGAGATATCTAAGTACATGTTGTAAATATGGACATTTGGATGGTATAAACTGTCATGAATATAGTGGCAATATATGTTTAATAACTCTCATTTGTACATATTTGCTTGTAAACATGGACTGATGTCAAAGATATTTTAATCAGTCAACATTCAAGGAGCGTTTGTTAAATTAATGCTTTGAGATGTCATGTAAATATGGTCAGACAACTCAATATCACCTACATTATTTATGTTTCCCACAAAAGAATGATAAAACCCACAGTCCCTGTGACATCTGTAAAAAAGGTATATGACTTCTGATGGTACTGGTAGTTTTGTACAGACAAAAGCAAAGAATGAGGCTTTAGAATAATGCTTTGAGATATCTTAGTACATGTTGTAAATATGGACATTTTGATGGTATAAACTGTCATAAATATAGTGGAACAAACCAACTTTAATTAACACATCCAAAATATTTCTTGTATAATGATACATCATTTTTGTGCGATTGAGTTACACAGAACTGTTAGACATAATAACAGCTGTTTATACAATTTATCTTATGTATTTGGAATTACGTGTAAATATGGACTGATAATTCAATATCTGCAATTTTCCTTACGTATCCCACAATCCAACCAAAAAACACCACCAAAAACACCACCAAAAACACCACAGTGATAAGGTTCCTTGGGATATCTGTAAATAAAATATAGGACTATTGATAGTGCTGGTAGTTTTGTACAGATAATGGCAAAGAATGATACTTTAGAATAATGCTTTGAGATATCTAAGTACATGTTGTAAATATGGACATTTGGATGGTATAAACTGTCATGAATATAGTGGAACAAACCAACTTTAATTAACACATCCAAAATATTTCTTGTATAATTATACATCATTTTTGTGTGATTGAGTAACACAGAACTGTTAATATGTCAACATTGTAACAGCTGTTTATACAATTTGTGTTATTTATTTGGAGTTACTTGTAAATATGGACTGATAATTCAATATCTCCGATATTACTTATGTATCCCACAATTCAACCACACAAAAAACGCCTGCAAAAAACACCACAGTTAATAAGGTTCCGTGGGATATCTGTAAATAAAATATATGATTTCTGATGGCACTGGTAGTTTTGTACCGATAATGGCAAAGAATGATACTTTAGAATTATGCTTCGAGACATCTGAGTACATGTTGTAAATATGGACGACATTTGAATGCTACAAACCATTGTGAATTAAGGGGCAATATATGTTTAATAACTCTCATTTGTACATATTTGCTTGTAAACATGGACTGATGTCAAAGATATTTTAATCAGTCAACATTCAAGGAGCGTTTGCTAAATTAATGCTCTGAGATGTCTTGTAAATATGGTCTGACAACTCAATACCACCTACATTATTTATGTTTCCCAAAAAAGAATAATAAAACCCACAGTTAACCAGGTTCCTTGGGATATCTATAAATAAAATATAGGACTATTGATAGTGCTGGTAGTTTTGTACAGATAATGGCAAAGAATGATACTTTAGAATAATGCTTTGAGATATCTAAGTATATGTTGTAAATATGGACATTTGGATGGTATAAACTGTCATGAATATAGTGGAACAAACCAACTTTAATTAACACATCCAAAATATTTCTTGTATAATTATACATCATTTTTGTGTGATTGAGTAACACAGAACTGTTAATATGTCGACATTGTAACAGCTGTTTATACAATTTGTGTTATTTATTTGGAGTTACTTGTAAATATGGACTGATAATTCAATATCTCTGATATTACTTATGTATCCCACAATTCAACCACACAAAAAACGCCTGCAAAAAACACCACAGTAAATAAGGTTCCCTGCCATATCTGTAAATAAAATATATGACTTCTGATAGTACTGGTAGTTTTGTACCGATAATGGCAAAGAATGAAACTTGAGAATTATGCTTCGTGATATCTGAGTACATGTTGTAAATATGGACGACATTTGAATGCTACAAACCATTGTGGATTAAGTGGCAATATATGTTTAATAACTCTCATTTGTACGTATTTGCTTGTAAACATGGACTGATGTAAAAGATATTTTAATCAGTCAACATTCAAGGAGTGTTTGTTAAATTAATGCTTTGAGATGTCTTGTAAATATGGTCTGACAACTCAATATCACCAACATTATTTATGTTTCTCACAAAAGAATGATAAAACCCACAGTTAGCGAGGTCCCCTGGGACATCTCTAAATAAAATATATGACTTCTGATGGTACTGGTAGTTTTGTACAGATAATGGCAAAGAATTATACTTGAGAATAATGCTTTGAGATATCTGAGTACATGTTGCAAATATGGACGACATTTGAATGCTACAAACCATTGTGAATTAAGTGGCAATATATGTTTAATAACTCTCATTTGTACATATTTGCTTGTAAACATGGACTGATGTCAAAGATATTTCTAATCAGTCAACATTCAAGGAGTGTTTGTTAAATTAATGCTTTGAGATGTCATGTAAATATGGTCTGACAACTCAATATCACCTACATTATTTATGTTTCCCACAAAAGAATGATAAAACCCACAGTTAACGAGGTTCCCTGGGACATCTATAAATAAAATATAGGACTTTTGATAGTGGTGGTAGTTTTGTACAGATAATGGCAAAGAATGATACTTTTGAATAATGCTTTGAGATATCTAAGTACATATTGTAAATATGGACATTTGGATGGTATAAACTGTCATGAATATAGTGGAACAAACCAACTTTAATTAACACATCCAAAATATTTCTTGTATAATGATACATCATTTTTGTGCGATTGAGTTACACAGAACTGTTAGACATAATAACAGCTGTTTATACAATTTATCTTATGTATTTGGAATTACGTGTAAATATGGACTGATAATTCAATATCTGCAATTTTACTTACATATCCCACAATCCAACCAAAAAACACCACCAAAAACACCACAGTGATAAGGTTCCTTGGGATATCTGTAAACAAAATATAGGACTATTGATAGTGCTGGTAGTTTTGTACAGATAATGGCAAAGAATGATACTTTAGAATAATGCTTTGAGATATCTAAGTACATGTTGTAAATATGGACGACATATGAATGTTACAAACCATTGTGAATATAGTGGCAATATATGTATAATAACTCTCATTTGTACATATTAGCTTGTAAACATGGACTGATGTCAAAGATATTTTAATCAGTCAACATTCAAGGAGTGTTTGTTAAATTAATGCTCTGAGATGTCATGTAAATATGGTCTGACAACTCAATACCACCTACATTATTTATGTTTCCCAAAAAAGAATAATAAAACCCACAGTTAACCAGGTTCCATGGGACATCTATAAATAAAATATAGGACTATTGATTGTGCTTGTAGTTTTGTACAGATAATGGCAAAGAATGATACTTTAGAATAATGCTTTGAGATATCTAAGTACATGTTGTAAATATGGACATTTGGATGGTATAAACTGTCATGAATATAGTGGAACAAACCAACTTTAATTAACACATCCAAAATATTTCTTGTATAATTATACATCATTTTTGTGTGATTGAGTAACACAGAACTGTTAATATGTCGACATTGTAACAGCTGTTTATACAATTTGTGTTATTCATTTGGAGTTACTTGTAAATATGGACTGATAATTCAATATCTCCGATATTACTTATGTATCCCACAATTCAACCACACAAAAAACGCCTGCAAAAAACACCACAGTTAATAAGGTTCCGTGGGATATCTGTAAATAAAATATATGATTTCTGATGGCACTGGTAATTTTGTATAGATAATGGCAAAGAATGATACTTTAGAATAATTCTTTGAGATATCTGAGCACATGTTGTAAATATCGTCATATAGCTTGAATATTGCTGAGTGCGGCGTTAAACAACAAACCAACCAACCAATGATTGCAGTATTCATTTGTGTGAATGGTGAAATACTTGTAAAATAAATCCATATTCTTTGTAATATCAGAAAGGTTTTTGTAAGTATATGTCAATGAACTTACTCAGAATGCTTATTTCAAATCTACCATTTAACAGATTTTGTGTATGTATTAAAATGTTTTTGTATTACTGCTAAGAAGAAGGAAAAAAACTATAATTTATTTATGTTTATACTTTTCAGGAGATGTGTGAAGGATATACATGTATATTATATCCTTCACACATCCTATATATATATATAGATATTATAGACACACGCACACAATAGTGTCAGGTCATGCCATATCTATGCCAGTTTTCCTGACGGATTAGTCGTTACATGTTGTTTTAAGATTAAGATATGTATAATGTGTAGGTATTTGGTATATGAAGGAATAATGTGTTGCTTTGTTAAAATATACCCCATAGAGGATCTGTTGAGGAATTTAGAAAGTGCAGTTCAAAGCAAACAGTAGAAAGAATGTGTGTTTGAATGTAAATGAGAAGGTAGGATGAGGGACATTTTTTAACCATGGAATATTCATAATTTAAAAAAAGAGAAAAATCTTTTGAAAGTGTAATGAAAATTATCCGATGTCATTCATATGAATGAGAATTAGAGTTTGTTCATTTCAACAATTGCATGTTTCGGACATATGACAAGACTAAATGCATTGGTACAAGCTAAAATGTGTCCAAAAGGATGATTTTAGAGGTTTTCAGGAAGTGTTTTTCTAATATCTAAACATTACAAAGTCTTTGACCCAGCTTATTTGTTTATGAGATGTAGATAAAAACAGAACAAATTTGAGGTAAAAATTCATCTTAATGAAATTAAATTATTGGAATTTGCATCATGTTTGTTTAAGGTAGTTGCTTATGCTATGTTTTTGTTCATACAGGGCTTATGTTGTCATAGTTGATATCTGAAAAGAAATAGCAATTGTTTAAGCTGGGTTTTTTATCCTGTTTACTAATTTGTAGTCAATTTCATAGGAAATTTTAGGCATATAGCCTGCCCCGTATCATGATTGTATTTTGTGAGAAAGGTATCTTACATAACTGGTCTTTTCTAAAAGATACAACATATGTTTTACGTGAGATAAAACATGTGAATAATATATATCTTTGTTCTGTTATACACAAGTTTTCTATTTTTGATTGACTTTGATGTTTTGCTCATCTGACTGAAAGTCAAGTGAGCATATGTCGTGGGTTGTTTGTCCAGTGACCATCTTTTCCGAAATCCCTGATGAAGCTGCTTGTACTCAATGATGACACAATCAAGAGGTTCTGAACTGATTTTCAATGTGGCTAACCTCAGCCATATTAAAAACATGTTTGGTCCAGGCGAGTTACAGTACCATGGCACTATTATATATGCATTACTTTAAGTGAGAGTTGGTACTTTATTTATTAATCAAGCTTGTAAGTAGACTTTCCAATATAGATCTTTTGAAATTAAGTTGATTAAACACACACCTCCCCACACACCCCAAGAATGATAAAAAAAGTAATCAACTGCATGTAGTAGTATTTAATTCATGTTAGATCAAATACCAAGGTTACATTATTTGAAGCTAACAGAATTGTAAGGGCAAAAGGCTCTTTGTATTCCACCTGTCCTGAGGTGTGCTGGCTCCAAAGAGGTGATGACTAGTGCTTGTGTCATTATGCTGCTGCATATGTTGAACAGTGTGTCAAATAATAGATTGTTAGAAAAGCTCAATATTTATTACAGAAAGATTATATTGATGATTTTAGTGGTGTTATCCAATCATGTATTCTAGTTGCTTATGTAATTAATAATGTTGATATTAATATTAATTAACAGAGGTTGAAATATTTTCTAACCTAGCATCATTTGTCTTGATTTTGGCCTATCACTTGGGAGACGGGAAACAACCTACAATTTCTTTCATTTTAATTTGAAATTGATGTGCATCCTAATAAAAACAATGCAAATTAAATGTGAGATGCAAAGTAGAGCATCAAATAAAGAAAAGACATTTGTGAAGACCAGAGAAACTATCCTGTTTCACCCTCTGCAAAGCTTTGATTTGGGGTTTCTATACGTTTTTGTGAATTTGTTTTTTATTTAATAAACTGTAAATCGAATTAAATGTTTTCTGTTGTATATTTAACCCTTGTTGATCACAAGACAATTCACCTTAGTCAGACAGTTATTCAACCCTGTGGAGATTTTGGTCAGTATATACATGTCCTTTGTACCAATGACCTGGTGCATTAGCCTGCCTGGTCTATTGTTTACAGGTGGCTGCTATGAACCTGGAATATTTCTGACTGTAAAGTAAATCAAGAAGAGATTAGATATTCTTCAGCCACAGCTGCTGATATTTCTCTTTAATGTTAAATTAAGGCTGCTAAGATGATGGTTTAGGGAAGCCAAGTGACCCCTGTGTGGTGTCACGGGGATAAGATCCAACCAAAGTTTCGGTCATTTGCAGATGACATATATACTCTCCCAAAAAGTAGGGGATCATGAAATATACATGATTGGTCACAGGAAGAAAGACCAGCTTTAGAAAATGACTGCTTCAGAAACGAACCAACTTCAACTCTGTCAAAACATTAATTTTCAATTGATCCATGGGGCATTTGCCTTATGGTAACCATAGATATAGTTACTTACCAATATTAACGGGGAAACGTAACTGTGCTTCACATAAAGTTCAATAACCATGATTTATTTTATTAATTAATTAAATTATGTATCTTTCAAAGGGTCATTCCCAGGACGGTGACCAAATGAATTTCAGTAGTCCCCTTCTTGGACGTCGTGCGATGCTTTGTCAAAATCAGTCATGCAGGTGTTTGCTTAATCCGGATTGAGAGAGGGGTCGTCGCCGAAGCAAAGAGTAAATATTTAAGGGTTACCAAATGAGATGTTTTATGACATACCATACATGAACATATTCATTGATGTACATTCATTATTATTTTTTGCAAAACACATATACAAACGTACAGTCAAATAGTTCATAAGTGTTCATTTATACTTTCAAATTGTATATGATATTGATGTCATGGCCTCAGAGAAATTACACTCTTTGATTTACCAAACATTCGGTATATATATGATAATGATAACGATTTTTAACCATGTCAGATAGTAGATGATACTTACTCATCTTACTTACGTCAACGGAAAGAGATTAGATATTCTTCAGCCACAGCTGCTGATATTTCTCTTTAATGTTAAATTAAGGCTGCCAAGATGATGGTTTAGGGAAGCCAAGTGACCCCTATGTGGTGTCACGGGGATAAGATCCAACCAGTAGATCCATAAGTAGCAACAGGCACAGCGTCGAACAAATCTCCGGATCTCGGGATTTGCACTGTAGTCGACCTGGAGTCCGCATTGTTGGGTTTTTCTCCATACACACTGGATGAAATGGAAGAAACAACCTTCCCAGTCTGTATTTTGGAAAGCTGCACAACATTGTTTCCTGCGACTAACTGAAGTCCTTCTGAAATACATGTAATGATAAAACAATAAAAAATATATATTTAAATTTAGAATAGAATATATTTACTTAATCATATTAATAACGACAATAACGTTTTGTGACATGATGTAACATACCTGAACAACTTGAGGAAGCAACTGTAGACCTTGCTGGGTACATAAGGAGAAGGAAAGCTCGGTCGTATGTTTCTTGTTTCTTCTCTGGGAGAAAAAGTAAACGAGAGGAAACATCTGGTCGCCAATACTGGAAAGAAGGTGTAGAGCTGGTAGAATAGATGTGGTGTTACATGGAAAGTAGCATCTCCGTAGACTGTGTCGCGGCTCAAACATGCTGGAGATTGGCAGTATTGCAGATTGCTTAACTTCTTACAATCTCAGAAAAGGACCAGGTTCAGTTCTGTCAAAATGGATAGCTCAAAATAGGAGAAAGTGCTACGCAGTGTAAAATCTGAACTTTGCTTTGTTAACATTTCAAGCAAGTGCAGTTTTCCGAGCACAGCGTTCGTTTTCACACTAAATTTATTTCGCTTGATTTCATCTTGACACTTTATATTGGTGAGAAAGACTATTTGTAATTTGATTCTAAAATGTATGAGGAAGTTCATTTCGGCGTTCGCGTTTGCCTATTTTCCAAAACATCGCCATGTTGTCCTATGTGTGCCTGCACAAGATTACCCTAATTTGCGTAAGTAATATTGCAAAACTGAAGTGAAAGTTCATTATATAAAAAAAGTGGAAAATACAATATCAGAGTTTATGCAAGTCTTGTTTGAACCTAGATTGTCATATGCTACCTATGATTGTTGTTGCGTTTATTCTCTATTTTCTAAACAACTGCAGGTTCACCTTCCGTTTTCAATGTAGGAAGGTGTCTACTTTTTGTGTGGGTATGTCTCTCTTCACACAATATTTCCGAAACAGAAAAGTTGCAAACTCTAAGCATGTCTTTAGACCGTGGTTTCGTCACTTGTCTGTAATGAATCCATGGCTTAACAATTGTTATAATTCAACACGCGTGTTTAACTGGCTTTTATGGTTTGTTTGTTTGTTTGTTGTTTTACGCCGCACTGGGCAATATTCCAGCTATATGAAGGCGGTCTGTAAATAATCGAGTCTGGACCAGACAATCCAATGGTCGACATCATGAGCATCGATCCACGCAATTGGGATACGATGACATGCATCAACAAAGTCAGCGAGCCTGACCACCCGATCCCGTTAGTCGCCTCTTACGACAAGCATAGTCGTCTTTTACGGCAAGCATGGGTTGCTTATGACCTATTCTACCCCGGATGTTCACGGGTCAACTGGGACATATCACTTTACTGGGACAATGTAGAATAGATCTAAATCGTGTAACAGCGTAGGCCATTCAACTTCAGGAGTAAAAGATTCAAAAGTCGGAATTTTGATTTGTCACATACACTCAGTTCAAATTAAGAATGGGATTGAATGAAGCTCAGACATGTATATCTTATGTAACTATACTTGTGTCTGTTTACACTTGGTTGGCCCTGTCTCTAATCATGGAAGGAGTTCATACGTCATGCAGCATGTGTTCGTTCCAAACGAACATATTCCATCATTTCACAAGCCATACTGGCCGCATACACGTTAATGATCCGAGCTTTAAAGTCAAATGTGAAATTGACAGCTGTGGATTCAGTACTAGAAGTTGGTCAGGTTTTAAGTCACATGTCAGTCACAAACACAGGCATGATATAGGTCTAGATAATGCTGTTGAACTCATAACTGTACAAAATGACAACATCCTTGGCAGTAAGTCCGATTCGGAAGTTCACCCAGCAGGGAATGGGTACCCAATGTGTAGATGTAAAAACCTTCTAGCGCCCCTGGGCAGCTTAGGTTTTATACACCACAGGGAGATGAGAATGATAATTGGAATGGAAACGGATCCACTGGTCGGGAAACAAATAAAAACGCATTTGAGCAGATACTGGGAACCTGGATACCTGCGGTATATAAATTATCATATAATTACATAATAATAATACGACCCTAATATGCTGAACAAAAAACACAACATAGGGTGAGTCATAAAGTGATATCAAATACAGAATTAATACTACACCAGCAGCTCAGATTTCAAGCATCAAGCAAAGCAATTTCTTGACAATCCTAACCCTGAGGAAATGCTTGACACAACTGAAAAATCTCCTTCTCTACACTATCTGAAAACTGAACACAAAAGATAACGTCTTAAACAGTTCATGTGGGGAAACGATAAATTAAAAAAAGACAACTTAAGGATTTTTGTGTCATAATACCTTTCCTCAAATCAGTTTAACGGGTTAGGTCTACTATTGCCTACAGTGCACTTTGCCTACAGTATTATCAAAACAATGTTATGCACCAGTGGCTGTCAATAATGAGCTCCCATTACCTTCAGTATGAATGGACTCTCCCACTATGAGAGACTGAGAAAATAAAAACCCTTGATACGTGATTACAATTTTATTTATACTTGGCGACAAGAAAAAAACATTACAAATCATGACATCAAGACATCACTTGATATGACCATGTCCCACTCATTAAAATAGCACATCACTGCGTCAGAAAATAATAAATATTGATTAAATGTCCACTCTTTTCCCTACATCACTTCTCACTTATTACAATAGCACATTAATAACTTGTCACTCTCCATTGATCAAGTCTTTCACTCAGTCAAGCTTAATGATGTGACCAGCAGCATCAAGGAATTCGAGGGGGCTTTTGTGTCCATTTGATAGCTGATCTTTCAGTCTTTGCAGTCTCTGCTCAAGTTCAACATGCTGGAACTGTACCAGTTTGTTACTCTCGGTCTTCTCCAGTTGCTGCAACACTCGGATCAAGGCGAAAATGTTTGGATGGGCACGCTGGGCCGTCTTGTTGAGGTGACTGTGCCATCGTTCTAGATGATTGTTTGTCCTTGGACCTGTGTTGTCACTGTGGTTCCAAATTGATGGCTTGAACCGGGCGTCGTCATCCACCCATATGGTCACCATGTAATCGTTGAAGGGGATGGCTTGAGGGATGTTGGGAGTGTGGTCCATGGCATCAAACCAGGTACTTGGACTTGGCATTGTCTCTTCCTGGACTAAGGAATCTGGTATTGGCCTCATCTTCGGGAGGATGGTTGTGGGGCGTACTGTTTGAGTCCTTAGTCCCTATTACTCAATGTAGCTTAACTCCAGTTTGAGTCCTTAATCCCTATTACTTACTGTAGCTGCATTTTTGGACTAACCAGTATCATCTTGCTTGATTAAATGTTGTTACTTATATTATACTTTGTTGTTTATTATATGCTGGCTTCTCTCTTCTCATGAGAGATACTCAGGTAAATACATTGTAACAACATAACAAGGCAAAGTGACTGTAGCCAAAGTGCACTGTAGGCGACAGTAGACTCCACCGTTTAACGCCTTTTGCAGATTCCGGAAGTTCTCCATTTCCTTGAAACTAGTCATGCGTGATACAGTTATGAGGGATATCTGCGATGGTAGTTATTTGAGAAACAATCCTTATTTTGCAGAAACATTGCAGTTGGGATACGATGACATGCATCAACCAAGTCAGCGAGCCTGACCACCCGATCCCGTTAGTTGCCTTTTACAAGCATAGT